ACAGAGATATGAAAAGAATAATACCAGCAAGAAACAAATCCAAATCTTCAGCTACCACATCAAAAACTGCACCATTTCCATCAGCTGTTAGTGCCATACCCTTCACTGACTCAACCTTCTCCTCTGGCAAGAATCTCCTCAAGACCCCAAAAGCAAAACTGAGACAAGGTTGGTAGAAATTAAGGGTCAAACATGATCAACAAATCAAAACGCTAACTCTAAAACAAGAACACAAACTATATCAATAAAAGATATAATAACGGATATCCATATTTAAACAGCTCATGGTATCTTGGAATGACAAAGGACATTGTGATTCCTTCAGGACACAATAAAAATTGTTCCCATTATTAGCTGGTGCTTGTATCCATATGTAAAAATAAAACAAGGGAACACAAGACATAATGGTTTAGAACACAAGAAAACTAGTGATAATTGCTTACGACGGTGAATAAATGGGCTTTCCAGCCTCGAGAAGTACTGTGACATGGTTCTCCATAGAGCTAAGAAGTGATCTCTTCTTTATCTCGGTGTAGCCCTGCACACCATACAATAAGCAACTGATAAACTAATAAACAAACATTTACATTAATTAACTTAAAAGGCACATCAAGTAGGGAAGAAATAGCGAACTTACAGCAGCTTTAGCAAGTGCTTTTGCCAGTAGATCTACTGCAGATAGGCCAGAGGTGTTAAGTAGCTCCTCGGCAACAGACTTGAAAGCAGGAATTACACTACAATAAAAATTGTATTAATATATGAACATGATTGCATCAAAATGTAACAAGCATTGCACTGTCAAGCATACCTATCAGAAATTTTGGTTATCATTTCTGCTGCATCTTGACCTACTGCTTTAGCTATATCAAGTGGCTGAGGAGCAGAAATGTGTTCAAATTTCACCCCCGACTCCCTCTCGATTTTTGAAAAATTTGACCTTCTTGGATCATAAAGCATGACAGCAACTCCAGAATTTCCTGAAAATAAGGACACACCTCTAAGTACCACATAAAATCAAAGACATTGTTTAATAAAACACGAATAAACAAGAAATGCAACATTTTTCAAGATTTACCTGCTCTTCCTGTGCGTCCAGATCTATGGATATAGTCTTCTACATCACGTGGGGGTTCACACTGAACCATAAACAACAAAAGTAAGTATACAGATTGACAAATATTACAAAGTTCACCAATATGCACACTGACAAACCTGGATAATTAATTGAACATCATTGATATCCAGTCCACGCGCTGCCACATTTGTGGCAACTAATGTCAAAAACTTGCCAGACCTGAAACCAGCAAGTGTGACCTGAAAACACAAAATAGGAAGGGAAACAAAAAATTCTGCCATTAGAAAAACAAACTAGCTTTAAAATATATATATATATATATATATATATATATATCACTATGAAAGGGAATGAGCCTGATATATCATATTTCAGTACAGTTGTGCAAGGGGAGAGGAGGATTTTTGTTTTTTTTATTGTGGTGGTTAGTTTTTGTGGTTGGGGGGGGGGGGGGGGGGGGGGGGCGGGGGGGCACAGTCAATCAACTTACCTCACGTTGGCCCTGCTGTATGTCCCCGTGCAAAGCTCGGGCTCCAGGCAACGCCTCAGCAAGTCCAGAAGCAGCTTCCTTTGTCTCAGTGAAAATGATTGTGCGTCCTCCACTGAGTCGGAAACAAACATGTCAAGCAAATATAGAAAGCATACGGTAGTAGTTGACTAGAAAACGACCAACCTGCTATAACAACGTATGATATCAGGAATAAGTTGCGATCTTGCTGAACTGGAGCAAGGAAGAACAATATGCCTAACATTGGTGCTCGCCTTCATTTTTTCATTACCAACAAGATCTACAGTTTTCTTATCTGGTTTGAGAAACCTAGAAGAAATCTAGGAAAAAGAAAAAGAAAATTTCATTCATGTGTCAAGATTGGATGGAAAGGTATAACATTGCAATATAATCCATTTATGTTTAACTGACATCAGAAGAACATCCAAATTCAAGATCTCAGCTAAGATACTTACGCCTTTCACCCAACTCGGCAAGGTTGCACTAAAAAGTAGCGTTTGAACTTTACTTACATCCTTCACCTTGCCTTAAAAACCAAAGAATAGAAGTTAACAAGAAGTTGTACAGTATACCCTTCAGAAATGCAACCAGCAACAGACACAGAAATTTTGCACAATTAAAGTACCATTGCAAAAAATTGTAAACTACAGTTACCCCTGTGAACCAAAGATGCCTTGACAGTGTAATATAAGAATAACATTGATTTGACAGGAGTCATATAGCAAGAGAATTCTTTGAAAACACAAAGATAAAATGATTCCAAGCTTCAGATGGACATTAGTAACCAAAAACATGGATACAAAATACAGTATATAAGATATGCAGAAATAGACAAACATGGTACAGAAAACAGATGTTGGAATTACCAAAAAGACATACCTAGAATGAGTTCAACATCATCAACAAAGCCCATCCTCAGCATTTCATCAGCTTCGTCAAGGATCCTAACTTTCAAGGTACTCAAGTCGATATTGCCCCTCTCTATATGATCCTACGTATTTCCAAAAATTAATTTTAGCATCATAAGTATATTGCATAATACCAAATTGACACAAGAACTCAGCTATAGTGAGAAATTGTGAATACCTTTATACGGCCAGGCGTTCCAATAACAACATCCACCCCTCTCCTTAACTTACTTTCTTGAGCCCCGTAAGGAGATCCACCATACACACAACATGCTGCTAGCCCCACAGCACCACCGTAAGCTTCAAAATCGGAGAAAACCTAAATGAACAAAAAATTGTCAAGTGGATACTCTAAAAGCCAAACCAGTGCAAGCATAAGGTCCAGGGTAAATAAACTTACCTGTTTGGCAAGTTCCCGAGTGGGTAAAAGCACGATAACAGTTGGAGGCCTACCATAACCAGTCTTTCTAAATGCTTTTGCAGGCCCATTTGTTAAGGACTCCAAAACAGGCAACACAAAAGCTAGAGTTTTACCCTGCAATATTGCAAAACAACGAGCATGCAATTCAGAAACTGAACAAAATCACATCAATAAGCTAAATATTCCAATCCAATTCAACAAACCACAAAAAACAAAGAGTAAAAATTTGTGATTCTCGGTAAAAGTTCGGGATTTCTGAGTAAAAATTTGTGCTTCTTAAGTAAATTAAATTTACCTGTCCAGTTCGAGCCCGACCGACCAAATCCAAACCATCCAAAATGGTATCGAATGTCATGGCCTGAATAGGAAACAAGGATTCGATCCCATTCTCCTTCAATTTGGCCCTCAACGGCGCCGAAATCCGAAACTTCAACACCGCATTAGGATCCTCTTTGGACTTCTCCTCCTCCTCCGGCTCCTCCACCTTCGCCTTCTTCGACTTCTTCTTGCTCTTCTCTTCGCTCTTTGGCGGCTTCACATTCACGGGCTCGCCCATCTCGGAGCTCGTCTCGCTCCTGTCCTCGTCATCCGAAGCCTTCCGCTTTTTATGCTTAGACTCCTTCTTCGACTTCTTCTCAGTAGTCGGCGAGTCGGCGGCGTCGTCTAGGGTTTCGCTTTTCAATTTCTTCTTCTCCTTCTTATCCTTCGGAGTGGTTCCCGCGAGAAGATAATCCGATACGTCCATCGAAGGCATGGTTTTCTAGAGAGAGAAAGCGTGCCTGTACGTCTGTGAATTTAGAGAGAGAAAGAGACGGAGAGCGCGGCGGAGAGAGAGGGGTTTCTGGTTTTCTCCTGCTACGAAAGGGTGTGGCAGTGATTTGCGTTTAGCAGGAGAAAGAGAGGAGAAACGGAATTAGGGTTTTGCGCATTTTATGGTTTTAGCAGTGGAGGGTTCTTGAGCGGTTGGATCGTGGACCTCGACGAATTTTGGTTTTGAGCCGTCGGATTTCGGTCCGTTTGAAAATATCTAACGTACCTTGCCAACGACTCCACGCACGCAAATAAAACGCAGCGCCCGAGCAAGACGTCGTTTGCTGCCGGCCCAAGGCCCAAAAGATAACCAAATGCCAAACCCCACTAGGAAAAATGGTTTGACGGACAATTTGGATTTTGGTTCGATTTCTCTTAAATTAAATTACATATCAATAAAATTTTCTTTGTCAATAAAAAAACGATGAAAAAATTATTTAGTCTACTATCATAATAAAAAAGTATGAGCAGTTACATAAATTCACAAAACAAATTTTTGTTGTTTTTGTTTAAGCATCACCTACATGTGATTTTAACATTTCTAATTTTAAATTTTTTTTATAAAATAAATAAAAAATAAACCTCCCTCCCTCCTCCCTTCTCTCTCACTCTATATCTCTCTCCAATTTTAAAAACAAAAATAAATTTCCAAACCGATAATACCAAAATTTTTGGAATCCACACCGAGCCAATCTCAATCTTTTCAATATGAGAATCGAAATTATATATTTAATTGTTCGAGAATACCGAACCGAACCGAAAATATATATATATATATGTATTTATTTTGGTTGCATGCATGTTGAATGTTGAATTTAAGTAGTTTAATAGTAGACTATATTAGAAATAGAAGTATGAAATTAAGGAGTTTAGAACTTTGAAACATCAATTTGACTTGGTATTAATGAATTGGCATTTCAATTGATATGAGGTAAAAAGCTTAACTTTCAATGCATATGAAATTGGGGAACAAAATTTTAGCCCACAACCAAAAAAATCTCAAATTTCAGCCCAAAAGCCCAAAATAGAAAATCCAATCCTGATCTATCCCGAAATACCGAAAATATTTCGAGATTCCGAAAATGGGATTGGTCTCTAAATTCCCGTCTCGAAAATTTTCAGTTTGAGATTCAAGATCTCATTTTCGGTTTAGGAACAACCCTTATCCAATTCAATCCACCAAGAGACAGTCGCACGTGAATTGACTCTCCCTCAACGTATAAAAAATACACCGAGGATAATCATCGGCACTGATTAAAATTTGACTTCGTCACTGAGTAATCTACTAACAAGGGGATTCATATATCGCCCAATCCACAAGTACAAAGTGTTTATACTTATTTTTCTTCTAAAATACTGATATACGAATAAAACAAAGCAAAATGTAAGAGGCTATGATCATAGTGGCAAATGCAAGATTTACAATATAAGAAAACCAATAAGCCCGGCTATGGCAAACATAGACCATCTCTGAGCAGATTTCTGGGCGGAAGAGGGGGCGGCGTTGCACCAGTTAAACCCGTACCAAAGATCATTGGGAATGAAGGTATTGTAGGTAAATGTAACTGCCCTGGAATTGTGACCATAGATTTTCACATACTCAGGCTTCCAACCATCCGGTCCGGTTCTGTAGAGGTACAAGTAGCAGATTTGATATGCACAGGGGCCGTATATATCGAATGTGTCTGTAGAACACAGTTCAAATGTTCTCGAAGATGGATCATCCAGTCGCGGAGCATAAATCTGACCAAGAAAAATGATCCTTATAAGTTGTATGTGCAACCATCTAACACAATAACTCATATTCGTTCACACTATGTTGATTCTAAACAGTTTAGATAAACAGGCAACCAAATATAACATCCGAATACATTGGTTTTGCATTCAACATACCAAACTCACAACTTTGAAAAAGTGCAATTTGCAATATGCTTTTAGCCAAAATGGTATGTTGTCGTAACTCTTCATTTGAGTCCCTAAAATTTAAAATTGATATAAGTGTTCTCTGAGATTATCAACCGTCAATTATTTTGATCATTACGTGAAAAATATCTGTGAACAAACCACCAGTTTCAGAGGAGGAATTGATTTGACAAAAATAGATTTCTCGCACAAGGGCCAAAATAATTTGCGGTAGACAAATTTGATTTCAATTTCAATTCTTCTTAATTCTTTGAAAACCCATGTTCGAAGATTAATTTCTATATACAATCATATCACATGATTAAGATCTCAACGCTGTTTTATCATAAATCAACATGAAAAACTGAGTAGGTAGAAGAACAAACCTGATTTCCATAAGCATCCCCAAAGGAGATACTGATCTGATCCCTCGTGTACCTCGTCGAGGAGCAGCTCGTAGTTATAATCGCCGTATAAGAACAAGTCCCCGCGTTCTTTAAAACCATAAACATCAAAATTATCAACAAAAATTCGTAAAAATAAAAAGAAATAAGCTTTGCCAATCGCTGTTACCGGGATTTTGCTGACGTTGAAGTCCTTGGCGGCGGCTTCCGGCCGTATGATGCTTAGCTTGGCTTGTGAGAGCGTAAAAAGAAAGCAAGCTTGGAGAAGAAGAAAGAGTGCTCCGAACATGTTTGATGATTTGCCGCAGATAGAATGCGACGACGACTTGCGGGATGCGGAGGAGTCAAAGAAAAGCATCCGTCAGGGGATGGAAGATGATATCTTGTGGAGACCGAATGTTCGGTTGATAGAGTAGTCATTTATGTCCGTCAAGACACGCAAGGGCAAATCCGTCTTTCAAAAATATTTGACATGTTTATGGCATTTTAAATAAAATGATCTATGAGGCTGACGTAATTCTTCATTTTGTTCAGCGAGACTTGAAATTGATATGAGTGATGCGTTTGTCCATCACCAATCATTTCGATTTTTTGGTAAAAATCTCAGTCAAGTAAGAACCAAAACTAAAATAATACCCTTAATTTAATAAACAAAATGCGAAAATGATTTGACAAAATATAAGGGTATTTTTTGTTATTTTGATCTTATTCAACGAGATTTTTTACGAAATAAACAAAATAATTGACGGTGAACAAGTTTAAGACCATTTCTATTTATCTTAAATCTAAATAACCAAAATAAGAAATTATATCAATTTCACGTACTATTCTAGCTAAAAAAATTCCATATTTTTTTAGTTCATCGGGAAAAAAAAATTTCTTTTTGTAGTAAAAACAAATTATACCGATAAATACTTGGAAGATAATTGTAAAGTGTGCCGGGTGGATTAGAAAAATTGGATGCAAACAATTAGTACTAGATATAAACACTCTTAATCATTCACATTTCACCTTCCTCCTGAACCCAAATTTCTAAGTTATTTTGTTGCATTGATGAAATTTGAGATTTGACAATGTGTGACTTCTTCGATACACCAACATACGAGTATTAAAATCATTTTAATTCATGAGACGACGTAAAAGATCTGTATAGATGTGAGCATCTTTAAACAATAAAGTTGCAAATTAAAAAGTCAAAGTATTTATTAAACAAAATACTTATATATTAATCCATAAGATTTTTTATACAACATATTATATAATTCCTCAAAGTGCTTTCATATTGTATAACAACTTCATTACTAATACCATCAAATATCTCTTTCTCTAAAAAAATAAAAAATAAAAAACATGTTATCATTCATTCATTGATTTTCCATCCTATTTCTCAGTTGCTTCTTTTCATAATCGAAAATGCTCTTTCAACGTTGACAACAACAACTAAAAAATTTAATGCTAATATCATAAGTAAGTAAATTAGTAATACACCGTACTAAAATCACAAGTTTGCACATTCTTTTCAACAAAAAAGTAAGTGGAAACATCCGCCCCATGGGCTCAGGGTGGCTTTTGTCCTTGTACACGGTGTCTTGCACTTATTTATCTTTACAACTAGGAAAGTAAAAATCAACATCAACAAATCAAAATACACACGTGAGCATTACAAAACCACATACAAATGACACACAATTTCATAAAACATTTGCAAATATTACACGAATACAATATGAACACGAAAAAGTAAACGGAAAAATGTGCATCTATTTTCCTACACCTTGTCATTAAAAAAAAAAAAAAAAATCGATTTTCCAGAAGAAAACAAAAATTAAAATTGAAAAACGCAAAGTATATATTTTCAGGTGTGCGATCGCGCCCTCAACGACTGAAAAAATCCCAATTAACAACCACACTGACTTTAAACCAAGTCGCTTTTCTTCCTCTTTCGCAATATCAGATAAAGCTTTCGTCTTCCAATTCAGTTCAATTCAATTCCTCACTACCCCTATTCCTCTCTCCCTCTGAAAATTTCCAAATTCCCGTTCCAGAAATCTAGAGAGAGAGAGAGAGAGAGATTGGATTAGTGTAGCTTTTCTTCCACATTTGATGGCGAAGAGAAGACGATGCGTGTTTGGGTTCTGCTATTCTCTTTTGACGATTTTGGTTTACGCAAGGGTTTCGTTTTCCGCGAGATCTGATAAGGAAGTCAGGGAGAGGTTCTACGGCAACATGATGAACTCCTCCGCGCCGGTTTCCGGCGACGGCACCATTGCCAAAATGTTCGATCGCGTCCTCGAGAAGGAGTTCTCCGAGAATGATCAGCCTGAAGGTTTAGCTCCTTTGCCATTTTTGTTAACTTGCATTTTGCATTTTATAGTTAATTTCTCGTTTATTGTCTTAATTGTAGTTAGTTAACATTTTTTTCACCTTCAACTTTGTGTAGGATCTGATGGGGCCAGCTTTAACAGCAGTGTGGCCGATCAACAAGTAGGTTTTTGTTACTCTTCTGATTTTTCATGTACCGAAATGTGATACTTTTCGGTTATTTTTAGGCCAAAACAATTCTGTAGTGAAGCATTTATCTGCTCGAGGTTGAAATGCAAAATTAATCTGTGATTGTATTTACTGTCTCATTTTTAAAACCCTTCGTTTATTTATACCGAAACAATTATGTGTTGTGATTATGTTTTGCAGGCTGTACTAGAGACTGTGGCAAAAATCACTCACGAGAAGGGCAAGAAAAATGATACACAAGTGGGAAAGTATGTGAATGTTAGGATAGTCTTTTGATCCTAATATGGTTGTGCTGTGACAAGATATTAAATTCGTAGCGGAATAAGATGCGATCTTGGATATGGTAATAATAGATTCCCCTTTTTTTGGTTGTCAGCGGCACGAAGCCTTATGATTTTGAAGGTGTTTTTTCATTGGAGAATGAAGATTCTGACGAAACAACAACCTTGATTGACAAAAAGGTACTTTGGAAAGCTATTAGTAATGAATATTTGAAGTTTACAACTCTGGCAGGGATTCCGGCTTGTAATTATAGTTGATTTTAGCTATACTTTAGCCCTATTAACTTTTTTCACTTGTTTATGATAGGATAATGTGTTTGTGATGTCAAACAAGAAATCTAAATATCCAGTACTTCAAGTAGATTTAAGGTATCTTTACACATCCCTTTCCTGACTGACATGAATAAATTGGGGTCCCATTTGGTTCTTGACTCAAACATGAGTTTCTCAAATGTTTGTGGAAGTCACAAACTTTTTAAGTCTTTGGTGGTTTTTAATTGATAATGGATCTCGAATTCCTATAAAACAGTATGGTTTCTCTCAAAGAGCCGTAAGGCTTTTCTTCATTTGAAAGCTAAAGATACTCCACACATGTGCCCTATGAACAGTTAATTGCAGTTTCCGAGTTTTTATTTGTCTTCTTGATGCATATATTACCGATGGGTAACACTTGATATTTTGGCAGATTAATTTCTGATCTGGTGGTTATCATAGTATCTGCTGCCATTGGTGGAATTCTGTTTTCTTGTTTGGGACAACCGGTTTGTCTTTAAATCCTAGCCACTCTTTTCATATTTTATTCATCATCTCTAGCTTAATGTTCCTTTATAGTTCTTAGTTCATGATCTATATGATCCAACTCTAAAAAATTTTCAGCATAGTGATTTAAATGATGCGATTCAGGTTTTCTGATCTAATTTGTATGCATATGATAGGTTATTGTCGGATACCTGCTTGCTGGTTCTCTCATTGGACCAGGGGGTCTTACATTCATCAGTGAAATGGTGCAGGTACGTTGTTGATTATGATCAGTTAGAAGTTTTATGTTTTCTTCAGAGTCCGGTTTCAATATAAGTTTTTCCTCATCTACTTTGTTCAAACTTTCATTCATTCTCATCTCCATTTAAATTGGCCTTTATGAACTATTACTTATCAGCAGTATCTGTTATTCAGCAACACTATATTAATGCCCTCTTGCCTCTGTTTTGAAGACTGGATAATTTTATTCTTAAAAGAAAACCCTATTGCTTTCAATATGCATTGGAGTATCAGTAGAAGGATTCAAAATTCAAAATTGGTAAAACTTAGGATGTCAAAAGTATCAAAAGATTGCTCCTTATTTAGATTTCTTCAAAATTTAATGCTGTTTATCCATATCAGATTGTCAATTCTCCTAATAAAAGAATAATAGTAGAAAACTAGCATTAGTCACTTGTTTTCCTGGAGATCCATGTTTAACTATTTGGTGTTGGTCAACCATTTACATCCGAGCTGTGGTATCAGTTCTCTTCTATATGTAATATTGTTTAATTCCTTTTTCTTTCATTACAGGTTGAAACTGTTGCACAGTTTGGTGTTGTATTTCTTCTTTTTGCTCTAGGTTTGGAGTTTTCTTTGGCTAAGGTATGTTAGACTTGGGAAGTTTAAGTTTACTGTCTGTTATGCTGTAAAATTATGAAGGTTTCTGTTTGATGTCCTGAGGGAGGGAGAGGATGAAACTTGCCTTTGTTTACGGAAGCCATTTAATTTGTCGGTGGTGCAGTTAAAAGCTGTGGGCCCTGTAGCTGTTCTTGGAGGCCTTCTTCAAATAATGACATTTATGCTCTTGTGTGCCATAACTGCTGTGGTATGGTGTTTAATCTTGCTAACTGTATTTTCTTACAAGTAACTAGTTAACATGTCAAAATGAACACCAAGCTTGCCCTTTTCTTATTTTTCAGTTATGTGGAGCAAAGCTGTCTGAGGGAATTTTTGTCGGTTCCTTCCTGTCAATGTCCTCAACAGCGGTGGTAGGATTTCTAACCCTTAGTAATATGATGCCACTTTACTTCCTAGGTTGCTTGTTTCTGAATCTCAACTGCACTTCATTCATCTCTCATTTCCTTTTACCAGGTGGTGAAATTTCTTGCAGAAAGGAATAGTAATAGTGCTCTTCACGGTCAAGTAACAATTGGAACGCTCATTTTCCAGGTAGGTTTTGAAGTCTGAAAACTTAGATGGTATGTTTATTGATAACTGATGGACCTTTTACGTTATAACCCTGGTTTCTAAATCTCTGATGCATATCCATACACCCCTTCATGTGGCTTATTTCAGGACTGTGCTGTTGGTTTACTGTTTGCTTTGCTCCCAGTTTTGGGTGGTCATAGCGGCCTTTTCCAAGGAATGGTATCAGTAGGGAAGCTGTAAGTCTGCTTCTGCAGCTTTTATGGCATATTTCTTTTTTCCTTTTATTCTTTCTGTTCTGAAAAGTTCTTTTGCTTTGCTGCCATAATAAAAATGAGGGTCATTTTATCTTCTTCTTTTTTTTTTTCTTTTTTTTTTTTTTTTTTTTTAAGTGGTTATTTTGTAGTCCAACATCCTAGTTTGTTGCTACTTCAGGTTGCTGGTGCTGTCACTATATCTTGGTGCTGCGTCAGTATTCTGTTGGTCATTTGTTCCTCGATTTCTGAAACTGATGATGCAGTTGTCCTCTCAAGTAAGTTTTGTTGGTCTAGTAGAGTAAGATAGTTAGCTTTCTGTCTTGACTTTTAATAACTTCATTGGCTCATTTATAATCTTATGGTGAATCAGACAAATGAGCTTTATCAGCTTGCTGTTGTGGCTTTCTGCTTATTATCTGCTTGGGTAAGTGGAAATATTTATTATTTTTCTCAAGTTTCTCAAATCAAGGGTTAATACTGTTCAAAAAGCTATGGCCTCCAAATTTAGCTTTCCTGCTCAATCTGCATGCTTTTAAGTGCTGTTCTGACTTCAGTTGTTGCGCAACTTGAATTTCCAGAATTTCTGGTTACACAATAACAGTAACACAGTTCTAATGCAGGGATCTTTCTACATATTTGTAATTCTCAATGCTATTTTAATTCTAGTGAATCTCTTGTAACCTTTGCAGTGCAGTGATAAGTTGGGCCTTAGCCTTGAGTTGGGTTCATTTGTGGCTGGAGTTATGATATCAACCACTGACCTTGCACAACATACCTTGGACCAGGTACTCTTCTGGATTTCTACTAGTTACGTATTACGTAATCTGTTGCAGTCGTTTTTATTTGCTTACCTTCGTTTTCCCTCACTTGTAATTAAGAAGTAATGGTGTTGGATTCTTTTGGGGCGTCTCTAACTACGTGTTTGATAAGCCTAGTAGCTTGGAAAAAATGTGTAGCCTTCACACTATGATTCATGTGTAATGCTTGTATTTGATATTTTTGTACATTGCAGGTGGAACCAATTCGTAACCTATTTGCAGCTCTCTTCCTTTCAAGTATTGGAATGCTCATACATGTACATTTCTTGTGGAGCCACGTCGACATACTGCTAGCATCTGTTATTCTAGTTATAGTTGTAAAGACTGCTGTTGCTACTATTGTTACTAAGGCCTTTGGATATAGCTTTAGGACGTCATTTGTGGTAAGTGGATTTATAAGATTCGAGTTGTATCTTATTTGTTGCAGATAAGCTAATTTGTAGTTTCCTAATTATTTAACCTCGATTATTTTTTATAGGTTGGAGTCTCACTTGCTCAAATTGGAGAATTTGCTTTTGTCCTCTTAAGTCGGGCCTCAAATCTTAAACTTGTTGAGGTAACTTATCTCTCTTATGGTTAGTGTGAATTTCTTCACCTGGATTCAGTTTTGAATCCCAGCTGTTAGGGTCCTGATTCCTGAATGAAAGAAATCACGTCCTGCAGTCAGGTTCACAAAATAGAATCCACATATTTTCCTCGATTTCATGTTGATTTTCTTATCATTGTCTTTTCAAACTATTTTTTACAGGGGAAAATGTACCTGCTTCTTCTTGGAACAACAGCGCTTAGCCTGGTAATTTTATTTAGATGTTACCTTTTGTGGAGAACGAGTCCAATAATTTCTCTGTCAAAAACTTACCCTAGTAAATGATGTTACAGGTTACAACTCCTCTCTTGTTTAAGTTGACTCCCACCATAACGAATCTAGGAGTTCTTATGCACTGGTTTCCTTCCGAGGGTACTCCATATAACGAGGTCTCTCTCTTTCCCCCTCTTTGAAGCACATGCATGCATACTTGCAAGCTCGTTATACCTACGAAGTATGAACTGTACAGTAGGCATTGCTCGTGGCTCCTCTCATCTCTCCTTTAAAATGCATATCCGTGCAGCGGGATGGATTTGCATTCAGCAGTTACTTAAAACTGTAATTTGCTTCTGAAAGCTATCCACAGTTCAAGTCTTGCCTTATTTCCTGTTTCCTCCGCTTTTACAGGAGAAAGCTTCAATGATCGACGCACAGCACAACCGCATATTGTGATCTCCTTCCCATGTCTATCTACCATCGGATCACAATTCATATCATGTTACGAATTCAGTAGTGTATGATTTGTGAATATCCGGTGTTCAGTTCGCTGCCAATTCCGTCGTTGTAGATGTTGCAGATGTCACTTCAAGATGTCCGGATCCAGCTTCAAGAACTATCGTGTACAGAACATATCATTTTTGTAATTTTTTGAGGATTTTGTAAATAGGAATGTTTATGTAGGGCTCCTCTTCAAGTGTGCATGCTAGTCTATTTGGAGAAAAAGTTGCTGCAAATACTAGAGATCGTTAGGAAACTGTATCGTACAAAAAATGGACTTCCAGAATTATTTTTTGAAGAAATACTACCAACTGAAACATTTTTTTTTATCTTATTCAGTTGATGCTTCTTTTGTCAATCCTACTGCTAAAAGCTAACATAGCTCATAACCAGTGCTTAAAATATTTAAAAAATTATTGATATTTTTGTCAAATATCCGAAAAATTAAGCATCGACGACATTGTTGATATTTTTGTCAAATATCTGAAAAATTAAGCATTGATGTGGAAAGGGGATGAAATGAAAACTTCATCATATATCAATGAGATGTAAGAAAATCAATGAATATCGATGATATTTACTGATTCACTGTAGAAAATTTTGTTGGAATCCATTGCAAATTTCAAAATTTTTTATTTTTTTTGAGAATTTTTTTCTCTAATTGACTAAACCTGAATAAGTTGATATAATTAATCCATTGCAAATTTTCATAATTTCATTCAAATACAACCGATATCAATATTGATATTTTTATAAATTTGTATATCGATATTTTCACCTATATCATTATTTTATAAAACATTAAAATTTGCGAGGTCAAATCATAAGTTTCTGAACTAAAATCTCAACCAATCTAAAGTTTCTAAACTGCAGTAAGGAGAATTCGATCTGGGGCTCTGGCCCATGTGACTGTAGCCCAAATCAATTGGGCCGATGGAAAAGTAAAAGAACCACCAAGCTGGCGTACTCTCTAGAATAAAGGAGAGTGGGAATAATCAAGTACGAATTTGTTTCTTGTGCTCTGTTGGACTTTCCAGTCAGTCTTTCTTTTCTGGTCTTCCTCCCCCGGTCGTCCCCCTCCTCCGTCGCTCCCCTCCTCCAGCGTCGTCTTCTTCTTGTTTCCCTTCTCCTTTTCTGGTATTTATCTCAGGCAGACACGGAGACCGACGAGAGTGGATGGAGGGTCAGCGGGCAGCTCTGTTGCAATGCCAGCGAATTGGCTGCAACGCCATGTTTTCCGAGGACGACAATCCTGAAGGCTCCTGTCAATACCATGATTCGGTACCCTCTCTCTTACTGTGCTCTGGTTTGGATGTGAGAGAAGCAAAGAAGATTATCGTTTCCCCTTTTTCTTTTGGTTCAATTTGCATAATTAAAGTATCCCAACTGAGATTAGTCTCAAAATTCTGTTTTTTTTTAACTCTTATTATTTGCTTGAATGCATGTTTTCATCTGAATCTTAAAAGTAATGACCTCGTAATTTTCTTTTTAGTTTAAACTAATTTCAAACGAAATTGGGTTTAATTTGATCCAAATGCTGCACATTGTGTATCTAATTGATCTGTTCCCTTGCTTGCTTTGTAAACTATGAAGCTTTTAATTGTTATGCATTTTAAAACCTTGTTATTAGATGTTAATTCTGTTTATTTTCTTGCATGTTTGGGCTCGGCTGATTGCGTCGGCATCTTCAAACTTTTCAGGGAGTAAGTATTGCCTGTTGTTTTAGTTGTTGCGTCGCGTTTCTTTAGATTTACGTTTTATTCGATGCCATAACTTAAGCAGAATGTATTTGTTTTTCCCAGCCTATATTTCATGATGGGATTAAAGAGTGGAGTTGTTGCAAGCAAAGAAGTCATGATTTCACCTTATTTTTAGAATTACCAGGGTAAGCACAAATTTCGCTAGTATTTTTAAGCATGCCGTAGCACTCCACAACGGAGTTGAATGGTCGCAACGCTAACCTTTGAAGCAAACTTTGATTGTTTATTGAATTCTTGAGATTTTTGTTAGTATCAGTTAGCTACTTAACTCTCCTTTTTCTGTCGTTTCTCTATTTGGTGAATGCAGATGTAAGACGGGTAAACACACAACAGAGAAACCAGTGTTGGCGAAACCGAAGCCTAAGGATCATGCTCCTGCTCCTACTACAGCTCCTGCTACTGATGCATCATCAAAGGAGTCCTGCTCTAGGTGTCGCCAGGGTTTCTTCTGTTCCGATCATGGTACTTTCATTTGATGCTTGTTGCTTTAAGCATTCGATTACTGTTTATTCTTCATACATTGTGTAACGGGTCAGGAGGTTGGTTGGTTTGCGTGGAGATGATATAAATTAGGTGTATAGAAAATGTGAAAGAATCAATATGCACACAAATATTAATGGCGATGCAACTATTAGAGAGTCTAATAGTACCTTCTCGTTGGGAGTTTTAGGGAAAAGTGGGAGTGATTTAATCTCCAAAGCCTGGTAATGATCCTTAACACTGAAAGATATCGGTGATATGGGCGTGTTAAAAAATAACAGTAATAGGATGTGATACAAGATGAATTTTTACCCTTTAGTATCTTACTGAGGAACACGATTTGAGGGAAATGGTTAATATTCTAATCTTCAGGTCTTGGCATCTAGAAGATGTAAAAACACAACCAAGCTTTGTTGTGTATTTGTATTTTCTTGGGGTTTTAATCTTTCTCGAGTACAACTAGTCGTGTATTTTAATCTTCATATCTTTATGCAGGATAAGACTTCTTCTCAATGATAGCATAGCTGATCAATTTATTAGAATTGGTATTGCATTTTAGGCATCTTAGATTCTGAGCGACGTTCCTTTTCCAGGTGCGCAAGCCAAAGAAATAAACTCAAAGCCTGTAAATGTGGAAACAACTCCACTTCCGGAAAGCATTACTGATGATCAAGGCACTTCTGCTCCACCGAAAAAGATTGTTGACATAAACCAGCCCCAGACATGCAAGAATAAGGGGTGTGGTAAAACTTTCAAAGAGAAGGATAACCACGAGAGTGCGTGCAGTTACCATCCCGGGCCTGCTATTTTCCACGACAGAGTGAGAGGGGTGAGTGTACTACCATAATTGTCAATTCAGTCCAACATTGTGTGTTTAACTCTCTGTGTGTGTGTGTGTGTGTGTGTGTATGTATAATTTGAATAATATTTTTTTCTTTTGGTATTGCAGTGGAAGTGCTGTGACGTTCACGTAAAGGAATTTGATGAGTTTATGAGCATTCCTCCATGCACCAAAGGTTGGCACAATGCTGATTGCTGACCCGGTATCTTAACATCAGACGCAGGGAAGGATGATTTGTTTTTCCCGTCTTTCTTGTCCTAAATTTTCTTCTTGTTATTGAACTGATATTACATTTCTTGCAACTGTCCGCCACGAATATTTAGCTTCTCTCTGTACCACTTTTGGAATATATGAATTGTCATGTCCTGTGTTCTTGTTATATTGAACAATAATTCATGGTGTCGATATCGAACTTATTACGACTCTACATATTAAGGTCTGCATTTCTGTCTGATGGAAAACTTACCCTATTCTTCTGAAATCACGTCCAGAATATCTGATCGTTTGATTGTCGGTCATTTGGTTCATCTCGGATTTGCTTGTTTCAGAGTCTTCTCTCGTACGTTGATGTTTTGGTCCATCTTCCTCTCTTACAGGTGAAAACTGGTTGCTCTGATATAATGCCGTTTGCGCGCCACTGTTTAGTAAATTGTTGTGATGGAATTAGACTTGAAAATTTATTGTATGACCTGTTAACCTAACACGAAATATCACAAAAATAACATGTTTGGGTTTACCCGTTAGAGTCGGGTTGTCATCGGATCTTCTGTTAAGAATTCGTTAAACGAGTTTGATCGTTACCAGGTCAACTGTTAACAATCCTATAAGTTATCCTTTGTTAGATTTAGTCATTAGGCATTACAATCTATTACATGACCCGTTAACCCGACGCGAAATGACACAATTCATTAAAAAGTTAGATCATCATCCGATCATTTATTAAAAACGAGTTAAGATAACAAGTTTAGATAATATGATATATTAAAATAACGAAGTTTAGGCAGAAGGCAGATTGATGGTAAATAAGTTAAAAACTGTTGCCGACAAAAATTACCTTTGCCTCCAATGTGAAATGGCCTTTTGTGGCTCTGGGATATTGGACCATGCTTGGGCTTTTATTTTCTGCTTTCGGAGTCATCGAAGCCCGAATCTGGATAGAAGCTCTTACCGGTCCAACATAATTCAACCATTTTTGTTTATCAACTCTTTAATCAATTACGCTAAATTGAGTAATGCTTGTATCAGTTGTTCATGCAAGTAGTTTTCTAATCTTGCTATACGTGAGGCTCACAACGCATCAGTGGTTACGGGCACATAAGTCAATGTTAAAAAGACAACCAATTCTCATGTTGGATGGGTAAAGTTTTTTCTCTGTCAATTGTATTGATACATAATTTGAATATAGTAAGTCTTGTTCTCTATCGAAACCATGACCAATTCACCATAGTTGGTGTTATCTATATTTTATCTTTCACATATTCTTTTTAAATTTTAACTTCGAATTACTTAAATTTAAAAAAATTAAATAACCAAAAATGATTGAAAAAGAAAAATGTGGATAACCATCCATTCATCATATCGTATCTTAAAAGATTGGAATGATTAAAAAGGACGAAAGAATTAAAATTAATTAGAGAGGGTGAAGTTATCACGTGTGTTACGATGGATATAATCAATCCCCTGTGCCCCCTCTTTTATATCTCAACCAAATTTCAGGGTCCCACACCAAGTTTTGTTTTTGCATGTCCCACCAACAACAAAGTTCCGTTGCATTGCGATGACTGGTTTGAGTCATTGCTCGTTTGACCAAACCCATTTTTCTGCCAGTTGTTTGCATGCACACTCAAAATTTTCACAACCATTACAAAGATTTATGCCAGTTTTTCGAACATTGAAGTATATTTGGTCGATGTGGATGACATTTAAAGTAATAAAAAAAATGTTATGATATTTTGTCTCCGACCACACAAACTAATCTTGATCGACGCATATGAGGCATTGCATTATTAGTCAAAATCAACTCATAAGCTGTTGGTTAATTTGACCATTGATGCATGTGAAAGCATTAACCATCAATCCTCAGTTTACCGCGGCATAAGTTAATTATTGATTTTTTTTTTATGCATATGAGGCCGCCTACATTGCATTATTAGTCAAAATCAACTCATAAACATGCTGGTTAATTTAATTCTTAATACATATGAATGCACAAACGGTCAAAATCGTAATTGGAGATTGACTTTAACAACGATTTAAAGAGAAATGTATGTTAAGTGATACATTTGGCACACTACATAACGTATTTGTCTTTTAAGTAGCGTAACGTTACTAAAGTATAATATTATAGCATTTGTACGTATTAGTACTTATTATTTATGTAACAAAAAATAAAACCAAGATCAGCAAACCATATATTTCACCAATATTGAATTCAAATCAGGATTATACACTTGAGGACAACTTTTTTAGTACGTTAAAAAAACGATTTGGTATACTAAATAATGATATATCAAATCGTGTTCCAACACACCAAACAGTATCTCACAATTGAGCAGTGAACGGGAGGTAACCCATGGAATCTTAAATGTGGTAGTGATGAAAGTGGGTCCCAGTGACACTGCCAATGGGTTTAAAAGTTGGACTCGGCAACTGTCACGCCGGTAGTACAATTGCTGACGGCGGGTCACCGGCTGCTTGTACGCCGGCCTTGTCTTTGGTTTATAGGCTCAGACGCAGACTGTCTGGCTCTAACCTATATATATACGCTATAGCTGTCTGTCACTTTTTTCATTTTTTGACGCCTTGTTTTTATTGTTTTATGCTAGAGGTAGGTGCTTCACTCACGCATAGATTTTTTTAAGGGTAAATAATAATATGTGTTCAGAAAGTATGCTGCATGTTATTTTATAAAAAAGATTTTGGTATTATTTATTTTATCAAAAAATTATATTTTTATATTAAAAAAATTAATTTTGATATTATTAATTTTATTTTATTTTATGTGTATATATATTTATATTTATATTTGTAACATAGTAAATTAACATATAATATTTGTTTGATAAACATACATATACATATGTATTTTTAAAATTTTTTGTTTTTTTGGTACATATCTTAAATATTTGTTAAATTCACTTTTTTTTAACTTTCATGTATGATATGTTTATTATATATACATTTACGTGTAAAATAGATGGTTCAGATTATTGAAGTATGCTACATATTATTATCCGTATGTCTATATGTATTTTTAAAATACTTTTTTTTCTTCTACATATCTTAATAATTTGTTAAATTGCACTTTTTTTATAACTTTCATGATATGTTTTTTCTATTCATTTACTTACTTATTTTTCACAATTAATCCATGTTACATATATTGTCTTTTAATGGCAGATAGAAAATTCATATATTCTATACATATTTTTCTCATATTATTGAAACGATAATAATAAATAAATATTTTAAGTAAATATGTTTTTAAGTTTTATAAAAATGGCCATATTTTTCAAACAAAAAAAATTTAACAAAGGGGTCACGTACTATACTTGTCATGTATTTTACTATCTATAATCCAAATAATGCAAATTATTGGGTAACATATATATACATGCCCTTTATCTAAAGAGTTATCCATTTTTATGTAAAAATGAGGATTAGTTAAATGGCTCATTTCATGTCGAATTTCAACGATCTGAACCGTCTATTTTGTAAGCCTTGATTAATAGATTATCTTTACAAAAATTCAATTTAATCCAAAACCGTTTGTCTATTTAATTATCACGATGAAATTTCATTGTTTCTTATAAAACAAAATATTTGTCAATTTTTTTAACTTTAATTAGATGTCTTAAATATTTTCGAATTTGCTAATATTATACAAGAATGATCTATAAGATTCAACTTAAAAATTTGACAACTTGAAATATTGAAGTTTGATGTAGTATGGGCTCTACAAGATATCCTCATTTAAAAAAAAAAATAGAGATCACTCCTCTTAAAGATCTCGCATACATACATACATACATACATACATACATGTATTCTTATTTTCTCGTTGGTATGCGATTAATGTGGCTTGGATTTATGGGTTTGGGTTGTAGCCGACCAGAGGATATATAACACTGTATATGACTTATTAGCACACCCTGTATCCTATAGGCTATATACTGTATATGACTTATTGGGTGGTCTCATCCTAACGATTTATATTATGTGTACTATTATAAATATGATAGTGCTATTAACACAATTATTTTAACCTCATATACACCTTTTTTTCTTTATTTCGGTATTTGAATAGAATGAAATGAAGCAAATCAATAGACAAACTTAACAAAGATGTATTAGAAGTAAAAATGAGTGGCTTCGGTTCAATTGGTAATTTAGTTGGACTCGCGACCCAATTGATTTCGTTAGCATTCAAAATGTCGAAGTCAACGCTAATAGTTCACCTATGTTATAAGAAGATGAACGCAATTTGTATAAAGTTGACATGGTTTCTGGATATGGATCCTCTCCGAATCCATTGTTCCTAATTCAAAAAATTTCGTAATCTGGATCATTGAAATTTGATCCAACGGGTACAAACAGTGACCTATGTTAAAAGTTATAATAACTTTAACTGTTTGATGAAATTTCAATAATTCGGATTACAAGATTTGATGGATTAGAACCCATGAATTCGGAGATGATCCATGTCCGTGGTTTCTCACACCAAGTCAAACTAGTATTGGTTGATTAAGACTAAAACATAACAGTTTCATATTTTTGTAGGAACTTTTCGATGAATAATGTGGTCACTCATACACAAGTTTTTTCGAAGTAGAGCCAGAAACGTGACACTAGATTGAATATTTTGTAACACTTTATTTTTCGGAGCTGTGCAACACTGGTTCAACTCTGTGGCTCTGCTTGATTTATACGATTTTCATAACTGCATCTATCTATGGAATTCGCATTTGATTTGACAATAGGAATGTGAGTGAGTTTTTCACACTCCAACTCACCTCTTGCAGTTTTTTGATCTTTAAATTAAATAAACCAAAATCATTATTAAAAATGTCATACCCAAATTTATAACATATTGATAGATATATCGATATCGGTTATTTTCAACGAAATTTGATCTGAAACGGAAAAATTTAAAATGAAACTTTAGAAAACGTGACATGACAGTTTGTCAATATTTAATTTAACTTATATATTGAAAATATCGACAAAATTTGTCAATTTTAGCTAAAATTTAAAAGTTTCTCTAATATAATATGAAGTTTACTTCCCTTCATATCTTTATCCGATTTTTTTGATATTTCTATATTGAAAAATTTCAAACATTGATCAAAATATACTTTATTATACTAAATAATTTGTAGTGTGAGAATCATTTTTTAATGAAAAATCACTCATAAAACAATAATCTTATATTGAAAAAAACAAAAAAACAAGATCAAATCTTCTACACCTAAAATAAGTGCGACCCCTTTGTGGCGTCAATTATTGTTTGACACATATTAAAATTACAATAACAAATTTAAGAAAAATTAAGTTTATAAACACGTGCTTGTTAACGGTGGGACTCACAGAGAGACCACATTTGTTTTAAATTCAGAAGATTTAGTCTAAAGAAAATACCTAACGGATATTGGAGGTATGTTAAGGGATAAAGCTTTGGATATTAAACCATAGAAAATAGAGATAGCAGGAGGTCCTAATCCCAGCAATACATGCAGAGACGGAGGAGTTTTAAAATAATGGAATTAAAAAGTTAGCACGGCCAGCTTTAAACGAAGGAAGCCTGTTGTTTGTTGAAGTGAATGCTGCTGCTGCAAAAGCCTGCATCAAGATGCTGCTGTTGCCAAACATTACTTATCCCACAGCTGAGAAAGAGAAATACTAAAGAGTTTCTCTAGATTTTTTATGAATTTTCTATCACTTTATTTTTATAATATATTGTTTTACAATAAGATTAAAATAAGAATTGTACCATAAATATGAGGTGGCACTGGCGAATAATACATGGAGAGTCTCCTTAACATTTCTCATTGAGAAATGCTAAGCAGAAGCTCTTAAAGTGAGACTCTCTATTGATTTTCCGCCATCCCATGTTTTTTGAGAAAATTTTCATTGTTACTGGAACACAAGTGGTATACAAAGTATTTTCATATAAGAGGTGAGAAATTATACTTTTTAAGTTGTTCACTTATTAGCACACGTATTTCATAATTTGTATAATAACATATGCTGTATTATTCTGCGTTCTGGTTATATTGAAAAACCTATCATATTTTTTACACAAAATTTGATACCGGTGGTAAAATTTTATAAGAATTGTGTTAAAAATATTACGTGGTACACAGTCAACACTTTTAAAAAAAATTCTAATTACCTTTTCTCCCCACAACGACTCTCTCCTTTTGTGTGCTTGTTAACATTAATATTAATCATCTTTTTAATTAATTTGTTATTATATCGATCTTTGTGAAGTTCCTCCTCATATTCTAGTGATGTGATTATAAAGGAGAGTACGAAATTATTAGGGTTTCAGAAGTCATTCTGTCTAACGAAATTGATGATCCTGTCAAATGTAAAGGAAGCTTTGTGAATGTGAAATTTTTTATGAATTTTCTGATACCATACAATTTGACGTTAATTTTTCTGTTTGTGTTATAAAATATTATGTATAAAAAACGAAGTGGCAAAAACTCATAAAAAATTCCACTTCTAAAAAAAATCTCTTTAGCCTATCTCAAAATACCAAAACAAACGTAATGATGATTCCTATTGTTTTGTGTATTTTAAACATTGTCTTCTTCATTGTATAATGCATGATTAGATTCATTATTGATAATTAGAACTTCATAATTAAAATGAGTGGTCTTGGCCCTCTTGGGTCATGAAAGAACCTTCGACGCACAACTTTTACAAAGTAATATTATGTGCATTGAAAGTTGTATTTATGTATAAGATTGTATGACATTCAAGTTGTATTTAAATATAAGAGTGTATGACATTCAAATACAATGAGATATCTTCTTTTGTGAGAATGAACTGACCATCCAATTAGGCCATCTTCAATGGAGATGGGTAAAAGAGGCATCATTCCGATTAAAAGTGCTCTTAGTCCCTTTTTCCAAGGCCCAAGCTCTCATTTGCAATAATTGACTCAAATTTAACGTTAGTTTTGAAGAGCAGTAGTTTAATTAAATTGACCAATAAATTAGAAGTCTAAACTTAAAATTAATAAATTATTGAGAGGATTATATTTAATCTTTTCTGTTGCAAATGATATATAAGAACGAAATGACATTGTTTATTTAAAAATAACTTTTTATAAACCTATAATTTTAGACAAATCTATATTTAATCTTTTCAATTGGAGATAGCCTTAGTCATAATTCTCAACTCAAGTTGTTTTCGTTGGGTTACGTGGATGTGGTTTGACTTCATAAATGATAAACTTTGTTAACGTTCAAGATGTTGCTATTACAATGTCTCAAACTAATTATGCACTATTGGTTGAGCGTGTGTGTGTATATATATATATTAATTCCTTTTTTCTAAAAGCGAGACCAGTTAGCTGCTTCGCTATGACAGTTCATTAGTTTGAGGATCAGAAAGACTCACAGAGATATTTTATTCTCTCTCTTACCATAATTGTATAATTCATCAATGCCAAAAACCAAACATACGATATGTCGTGTAAAATACATGCCTTATGTGTATATATTGTTTTGCATAACATTGCACTGCGTAAGTAAACTTATAATCCCACCAAATGCAAGAAATAAGGCAATCTCAGTTTCCAAAAAAAAAAAAAAAAAGAGCATCTATCTCTCTTTCCAAACATAAACAAAAGGTCAACATTTAAACTTCGGGTCAAGGCGAAGTTGCAGTTTTCGCCATTGAAGCAGACCACAAATACACATCAAAAGCCAGGGTTTTGGGCCTTCTTCCATTTCTTGGAAGGGAAGAATTGTGTCATTGTTTCAACTGTGAAGCTGGTTTTGTTGCACGGAAAAAGGAAAAAGAATCCCACACAACCAAAAAAAGGATTTGGATTTTCCATCCAACCAAACACTTTTAGAAGAAAACAGATCCATTTCTTCTTTGATTTGATATGATTTTACTTTATGGGACAAGAGACGAGCAAAGACAAAAAGACAAAAATCCTCGGAAGCATAAGAAACATGACAGTGGCAAATCAGTCTTTCTCCGCTCTTTTTCTGCTTAACCAAACCGGAAGACCGAACCATGACTCGGTCTTCCCCGACTCGGCCCACGCGCCATTTGCAGTGATTGAGACAGTAAGACGGAGATGCAGAAGGGGTAGACTGGTAAATTAATAAATGGGAGCAATAAATCGAAACAGTGGTACTTTTCTAGGTGGCGAAAATTGCATGGGCTTTGGAAAACGAAAGGTACGAGATGACGGCCGGCGCCGTTTGCTTTGCAGTTTATGACAGTCTGAGTGAACGTCCCTTCACTAACGTCGCTTCACCGCCGTTTACAAACATCTCTTTCACTATTCTCAGAGAGAGAGAGAGAGAGAGGAGGGGAGAGAGAGAGTCTCTGAAGAATTCAATTCTCTCTCTTCATAACACTCGGGCCTCAGTCTGCCTTACACTTCACGCCAAACGTCTGCTCTCTCTCCTCACTCTGTCGTTCTCTCTCTTTCTGATAGTGGTATTATGTGTGTGAAGAACAGAGAGGGCTTAGCTCATCCACCCTCTTCTGGTTTTAGCATTTTACTCTCGTTTTCTCTTCCTTCTTCTCCAACGTCTCTTTCCGCGACTTAGGTTCTGCGAAATTGCGAAGCTTTGTGGAGATTAATGGAGAGAAGGGTTTTATGGAGGAAGAAGACGGAGCTCGTCTTCTGCTTTGGGTTAGCTTTAATGGCGGTTCTCTTTCCTCTCGGCTCCCCACTCAACGACGAAGGTGTTTCTCTCTCTATTGTTGGGGTTTTCTGAGTTTTGGGTTTCCATTTTTAGACACTCACTCTATTGTAGCCCAAAGTTTCTTCCTTGGCTTCTCGTTTGTTTGCCTAGAGAACTTGGGGAAACGAAACCACATTTTTTTTCAATAGCCAAAAGCCGATGTCCGATAGGCTCTCCCTCCGCCTGGGTTTTTTGGGTTCTGCTTTCCATTTTTGTAAACTTCCCTTTTGCATTGTAGTTAAAGTTTCTTCCTTGGCTACTCGTTTGGCTGCTGAGAAAGCAAAGGAAAACCAGTCCCACATTTTCTCAGCAGCGAAACGCCAAGCCCAATCAATCTCGAAAAAGAGGCTCTTTCGGACATTCCGGGGATGTGAAGAGACATCATTTTTTTAACTGTTTACTTTGAAATCATTATTTCATTTTTTAATGTTGCTGGGTATTATTTAATGGCGTTATTTAATTCTCTGGAATATTAAAATGGGGGTTCACAGGAAAGGCGTTGATGTCAATTAAGGCGTCGTTCAGCAACGTCGCTAACGTGTTGCTCGACTGGAACGATGCCCATGACGGAGATTTCTGTTCTTGGCGTGGGGTTTTCTGCGACAATGTCAGCCTCTCTGTGGCCTCCTTGTGAGTTTTCTCTATCCTCCTCTCTAAACCTGTTCCGGTTCTTCATGAACACTCTTAATAATGGTCCCTAACTCTGCTTAGCTCATGCTTAATGTTAACGGGGTTCCTTGGTTTTTTCATGTTTGAAGGAATCTGTCTAATCTCAACCTCGGCGGAGAGATTTCGCCAGCCATCGGAGACTTGGGGAACTTGGACTCCATGTGATCCTCATCTCTTTATTTGTTCCGTTGTAATTTCTTACTGCTATATTGTTGAAGAGATTTTGATGGATGGATTTTGTGTTTGTTATTGATAGAGACTTGCAAGGGAATAAGCTGACCGGTCAAATCCCCGATGAGATTGGCAACTGCGCTTCTCTCATACATTTGTAAGTTCTTTCCTTGGCTATTACCTATGGTCTTTTTAGCTTTTTGTTGTTCGTTTAGCTTTTGCTAATCTCTTATATTGCAACGTAGGGATTTGTCTGACAATCTTTTGTATGGAGACATACCATTCTCCGTGTCGAAGCTCAAGAAGCTGGAGCTTTTGTAAGTGGCTTTAATCATTGAATGCCAGTAAGCATTCCTCCCTGATTCTTTATTTTCCCTACGAACTAATAATCTGTTTGTGTATACAGAAATTTGAAGAACAATCAGCTGACTGGTCCCATCCCTACGACTCTCACGCAAATTCCGAACCTTAAAACTATGTGAGTTCCTTATTTATCTGTACTGTGAATTAAGTTTTAAGGCATGATATGTTTGTAAGGTACATGGAAGTATTCAGTTTCTTAAATTTATGTTGTGTAACTTTTGGATACTACTTACAGCTATTGGTATTGGCAGAATTTGCACTAACAGTTTGTTGGTTTTTTGATGGTTTGATTTTTGAAGTGATCTTGCTCAGAACGAGCTTAGTGGTGAGATTCCAAGGCTAATATATTGGAATGAAGTATTGCAGTACCTGTAAGTACCTTGACCATATTGGAAACAAGCATCTTATTTATCAAGTTTTGAATGTATCATTGTAATTTCTTTTCTGGTAGTATCGGTTGATATACTATCAGTTGTGTCCATAAATGTGTTCCGTTGTGGGAAGGGTATATTGTATTTGTGTAAGAGGCCTACGAGTTTATGATTAACTTTGTTAAAAATTGGCTTTACAGTGGATTGCGCGGAAACTCATTAACTGGATCACTGTCACCTGATATGTGTCAATTAACTGGCTTGTGGTACTTGTAAGTATTCATACATCATGGATTCAACTACTCTTAGAGCTTTCTCCTTGATAGTTTTTCTTGATCTACTTAACAGTGATGCTAGAGGCAATAATCTGACTGGCACGATCCCAGACAGCATTGGAAATTGCACAAGTTTTGAGATCCTGTAAGTTTTTGTTTTGGAGTTTAAATTCCTGCCACCCTAATAAAAAAGAAGCTTTTGGATTTGATTCTCATAATATGTTATGGGTGGCTGTGATAGGGATGTATCGTATAATCAGATCACAGGGGAAATTCCATACAACATTGGGTTTTTGCAAGTGGCTACGCTGTAAGTTTTATTGCTTTCGACTGTTAGTGTAGTTATTCTAGAGTCCAGTTTGGTAAAATACTAAAATGTTATGGTGGATTTTGTTAGGTCCCTTCAAGGGAATAGACTGACGGGAAAAATCCCTGAGGTGATTGGTCTAATGCAGGCTCTTGCTGTCCTGTAAGTGCCTTGTTTAATCTTGTGAGAATCTGTTCCAGTAGAATTTTGAAGTAGTTTGCTGTTTGCTTGCATGTTACTGAGGTTCATTTTTTACTTTAATTTTGTCTGTCTTCCAGGGATTTGAGTGAGAACGAACTGGTAGGGCCAATCCCACCAATATTTGGCAATTTATCCTACACTGGGAAATTGTAAGCTCTTGGCTTTGAGTGATAATGTCACCTTCAGTGTTTCATAATTGTGTCTTGACATATTTCTTTTTTGTTGCAGATACCTGCATGGCAACAAGTTGACTGGGTCAATTCCACCCGAACTCGGGAATATGTCAAAACTAAGCTACTTGTGAGATGCCTACTATGATATGATACAGAATTACAAACCCATAGATGCTATGTGTTACTCTCCATGTCTTAATTTACTTGTCAAATTATCTTGTGCAGGCAATTGAATGACAACAAACTGGTCGGGAGAATTCCTGCTGAGCTTGGGAAGCTGGAACAATTGTTCGAGTTGTGAGTATCTATTGTTCTAGAATTTTCGGTCCTTCATGTTCCTAGTGTTATTGTTACTTACTTAAATGTTCTGGGTCAGGAATCTTGCCAACAATGTTCTGGAAGGTCCCATTCCACATGATATCAGCTCCTGCACCGCCTTGAATCAATTGTATGATATCTTATACATGACTACCACCTGAGTTTAATGGTATGTGTAACTGTATGATATTGATTAAATTTCTTGAGGCTGAATGTTGTTTTTATTTAAGCAATGTGCATGGAAACCGCTTGACTGGGTCCATCCCTCTGACATTCCGAAATCTGCAGAGTTTGACTTATCTGTGAGTTTTTCTGTTTTGAACTTTGTTTATTGCTTGTGCTTCAGACGATCTTAATTGTATATTGATAAAATCAATTGATTGAACCTTCAGGAATTTGTCAAGGAACTATTTTAGTGGGAGAATAGCTATTGAGTTGGGACGCATCATCAATCTGGACACATTGTGGGTTCATAGGTGCCATTAGTTTTGCCTTAAAGCTGTTAATTCAGATTTAAGTGACATTGTATTACCAATCTTTTCAGGGATCTGTCTAGCAATAACTTTTCTGGCCCTGTTCCAGCTTCGGTTGGTGATCTTGAGCACCTTCTGACCTTGTATGTCTACGTTTGTACGTCTACGTTTGTACGTTCTTGCAATATAGATTCACTTTGTGTGTAACCTGACTCTTTGTACATATCGTTACTCGCAGGAATTTGAGTGGTAATCATCTTAATGGTTCTCTGCCAGCAGAATTTGGGAACCTCAGGAGTGTTCAAACTATGTAAGCTTTTAATAGGACTCTGTTGTAGTTTTTGTTGAAGAAACTCATGCCTTTCTAATTTTTTTGTGCCTTTATTGGAGTGCTTAACAGTGATATGTCATTCAACTATCTTTCTGGGAGCATCCCAGGAGAATTGGGGCAGTTGCAGAACCTTGCAGCGCTGTAAGCTCCCTACCCACTTCTTCATCAAGCCATGTCTCAGTTTTTATGCTCTACGTAATTCATCGTGCTGAATCTGTTTGTGTTTGAATTTCAATAGGATACTCAATAACAACTTCTTGAATGGAACAATACCTGATCAGCTAACCAACTGTTTCAGTCTTGCCACCCTGTGAGTTTTGTTTCTTGAATCTTTTTTCATATTCATTCTTGTGCATTTCTTAATGCTGTTTCATCCATGTTTCAGGAATTTCTCATACAACAATCTATCAGGCGTTGTACCTCCTATGAGGAACTTTTCACGATTTTTGCCAGACAGGTAAGCAAGGAAACAAAGTTGCTGTTTTCTATATTTGCTAGTGCTGATTCAAGATGTCTGTTTCAGCTTTACTGGAAACCCATTGTTGTGCGGCAACTGGTTGGGATCGATATGTAGTCCTGCCACAAAATCCAGGGGTAAAAGTTTAGACTGTTGTCTCATTTTTCTGCGCTATGGAACTCTGGTATTTGACCTCCTATATCTAGTCCAAATTTAACAAAGGATCCTTCACATTCATACTTGCAGCTCTATTCTCCAGAACAGCCGTCGTTTGTATGGCATTAGGCTTCATCACATTGTTGTCCATGGTAATAGTTGCAGTTTACAAATCTAACCAACCAAAGGATTTAACGATGGGTTCTGGCAAGTGTGGGCAAGGTATTTACTCCCCTTTTTAATTTTTAATTTATCTTGGTTTTGGTATTATTGATGTACTGCCTTATGAAGATCCGTTTTTCTTTCCAGGTCCTCCTAAACTTGTAATCCTTCACATGGATATGGCTGTACACACCTTTGACGATATAATGAGAATTACTGAGAATCTAAATGAGAAGTATATTATAGGTTATGGTGCTTCTAGTACAGTGTACAAGTGTATGCTAAAGAATTCTCGACCCATGGCAATTAAGCGACTCTACACTCGGTATCCTAATGACATGCGGGAGTTTGAGACTGAACTTGAAACCGTTGGCAGAATCAAGCATAGAAATCTTGTCAGTCTGCATGGCTATTCACTGTCTCCCCATGGAAATCTACTTTTCTATGACTATATGGAGAACGGATCTCTCTGGGATCTGCTTCACGGTTAGCCCTCCTCTCAACTGTCAAAGTTTTATTATTTTTTCGGAAAGAATGCCATTGAACTCATATACTTACTGTGTTTCCAATATTCATGACAGGACCATCAAAGAAGGTTAAACTTGACTGGGAAACGCGGTTGAAAATAGCGGTTGGTGCAGCACAGGGACTTGCTTATCTTCACCATGATTGCAACCCCCGAATCATTCACAGGGATGTTAAATCCTCAAACATATTGCTGGACGAGAATTTTGTGGCTCATCTATCTGATTTTGGAGTTGCAAAATTCATCCCAACTGCACAGACTCATGCATCAACTTATGTTCTTGGAACAATTGGCTACATTGATCCAGAATATGCCCGAACCTCCCGTGTCACCGAAAAGTCTGACGTGTATAGCTTTGGGGTTGTGCTTCTTGAGCTACTGACCGGGAAAAAGGCTGTGGAACAGGATTCAAACTTGCATCAACTGGTACGTTTCTAGATGTAACTTCAGGCTTCGTAAAGAACTCTCTGCCCGACGTAATATTTTGCTACATGATACGAACTTTATTTATTCAGTATCATTTTCTTGAGCTTGCATTAAATTTTGAGATCTGTTTATCTCAGATACTGTCCAAGGCTGATACCAATACTGTAATGGAGTCTGTCGACCCGGAGGTTTCGGTTACTTGCATGGATTTATCTCATGTCAGGAAGACCTTCCAACTCGCCCTCCTGTGCACCAAGCGAAACCCTACTGAAAGACCAACCATGCACGAGGTTGCAAGGGTTCTGGTCTCCCTCCTTCCTGCAACAGCCACAAAACATGGTTCCATTCCGAAGGGCATTGATTACGCCAAGTTTGTGGCTGACAAGGAACCACAGAAGCCAAAACCGCAGCAGCAAGAGAGCCATTCATCCAACGCTCAGTGGTTTGTCCGCTTCGGTGAAGTCATATCCAAGAACACGCTTTGAATGAAAGCTTCAGATTAGCTCTTTGCTTTTAAAACAGCTGAAATTACAATATAAGATTGAGAAGGAAAATCCCAGTTTTGGTTCATCTGCTAGTACCAATAGCAGTAGACGAAATATATGTAATCATCAAGTGTTATGACACATCTTTTGGAACGACGTCGTATAAGCAGGGATTGAAAAGTAAGAAGAAAGAACTAGTTTTTGTAACTTACATATATTTTGTTGAAGAAATGCTACTTGTCGGATTATGTCCTGATCCCTCTCTGGTTGTTTGTTTACGCTCTACTTTTTACCGTGGTGAAAGTGAAAAGTGAAAAGTATCCACAAAGATTCGGGATGAATGTCTGAAAAGGCATTTGCTTTCTGAGAACGGGTTCACGAGAGAATTTATGATTTCTGAAGTAGAAAAAACATCAAATTAATGTATATCCGAGAGGCTAGTTGTCGGGTTTTCCAAGGTAACAGGCAGTGTTCTCGGTTATTGTACCCTAACTAAGTTATAGACGAGGGGCAAACTTGATCTCCTTCAAATATACGCTACCATTGGCAAAATCTTCGCTAGATTAAGAGAGAAGAGACACTTACATGGAACAGATGGTGTTCTAAACTTATTATGCATTATGTGCTTTATGTTCATATGGCATTTGGCATTGTATGATCAATTTGAAATGCCTTCTTAGCGTCCTATTTTATATGGCTCTCATTATAACTCACATGACCTGAAACCTCTTCGAATCTTTTTATTCAGAGCCCAAAGATTAGTAGATTTGGGCAGTTGAAGAGAGAGATGCAGACCCTTAACTTGTGTGCGGTGGATTAGTAGAATGGGTTAATGAGAGCCGCATGATTTAAAATGAGTACGGAATTCCTAATCCGTCGATTCCAGACACAGAGATCCGGAAAAGATCAACTCCTTATAACATAGCTGATTTGAGGAGTTCGAGCAACGAGGGGCTCAAACATGACAAAGAAAGATTATTCGGGTAACGAATTTGAAACTTTCAATTTAAGATCGTGGGTTAATAAATGATATAAAATTTTTAGTTTGAAAGACCTAAAACTAAACCGAGAGTGCAAAAATTGGTACGCTAGTTTTTGCACTGCATAGCCCATGTTCATGCCCTCCAGGCTCTATCGCGTGCATTGAGATTTGTAGGTATTCAAATTTCTTGTTTTTCCTTTTTCTCGTTTCATAATTTCCAATACAAAAGTCAAATTGTAGGTTCATTTCGAACTGTAGCACCACATATAAGTTAACCAGCTTTGAAATCATGCTAACATCTAGATTTCCACCGGCTGTTTTCTAATCGAGGAATCCACTCCTTTTACTCAAACAATGATCTATCTGCTTCCCACTTAACCACCGATTTTTCTTTCGTGACATCTATCATTTTCATCAACTTGAAGCTCGTTTGGTAACCATATAAATGCTACGAGACTACGAGCCCTATGTATAAAAAAGAATTCAATTTAGTTAGATTACTTCGTCAACAAAATTAATAAGCCACAAAGAAAATACTAGATGATATAAAAAGAGCGACCCAACCCAACAAGGCTTTCTGCTTTGCGAGGGTCAGGAGGAGAACGTCTATCGTACACAATCTTACCCTTGTTTTACAAAAAGGCTGTTTCCACGACTCGAACTTGCGACTTTTTGTTACGGAGCAACTTTTTTGTTGCGCTAAAGATCGTCCTCAAAATACTAAATGATATAAACTTATAATTTACCTCATGATCTTGCTGAAAGGAGCTTTGGTCTGTTCACTTTTGTGGCCTTATTTCAATTAGTGGAAGCAATCAATCTTGTATTAATCTAACAAATTCGGAGCTTGGTCTCTTCGGCGTTTCATTAATCACGTTTACGAAGATAGATTAGTGATTAATCTTAGCAGGCAAAGGCTTTTTTGACTGAGGTTTTGTATTATGCTGTCCTTCGGATTCAAGGGAGAGCTGGAAAATGTCAAAAGATAAGATATTGAGGAGTTAAAAATTGAAAACTTGAATAAATTTAAAACAACAAGAGAAACTTGTAATAAGATGTCAGGTGGTGATATTCCATGCCTATCGTGCTTCATCAAGTGTTTTACTTTTACTCACATAACATCAAATATTTTGTTTGAAATACCTTCATTTTGATGTTCAAATTACATGTAAGTTTTTACGTAAAATTAGCGAACTTAGATATTGCTCCTACCTTACTAAATAAATCTGTTGGCGGCTCCTTTCGGCATCTCTTGTCGATTGCAAACTTTAATTCCTGCATACAATTTAAATCATGGCGTTAAGATTATGCACATAATTTTTTTTTTAAAAAAAAAGTTAAAGAGTTAGATTTACCTTATTTTTAAGAGAGCAAGCTACGAATTTGTAAACCATTCCACTTTTCTACTGCTTTAAGGCATACACAGAGTTTGGCCCGTGCAAAACATTAATATCAAAACTTTTACATAGCTGCAACGATTCTCATCCGGTGACATGTTTACTTACATAGAACGAAAATCGAAAGTAATTTGATTCTTGATTTTCAAGGGTTTATTATTGGAATTATTGAGGGCGAGTCTTAACGCAAAAGAAATATTATAATTTGCGAGCGAAATGTCATAGGTTGGAGTTATGGAAACAACCTCTTTGCAAGGCAAGGGTAAGGCCGCATATGATAGACGTTCCCTCGACCTTCGTAAAGCGGGAAGTCTAGTTGGCTTGTGATCTGCTTTTTTTTTTTTTGTTTTTTTAACTATTGAAATTATTAACCTTAAAAGTAAAAATCAAATTTGAAGATGGAAAAATTCCATGACTGCAAGGTAAAACTACACAGAAATTACACAAGATGGGATTCATTTGACAAGCTAAAAGGCAGAGATAGTTACCCTTCGATCTCTGTAGTTTCATTTTCTGATAAATAACTAGAATTAGGTCCATTTGTTACCTGCAGTGACAATATTATTTCGTCGTAAGAGTTGACAAAAATTAATAAGTTCAAATTCAAATAATCGGACAAGTTTCAGAGGGTTACATGGTGATAGTATGTCTTTTGCATAACTCGCGCTGATGTCCGAAGGCGAAACATCTGATGACAATCAAATTAAGAACGTTATGAGGTGCATTTGTTATCGCTAAGAGAAAACTTCAGTAGGAGTGGCTGGGCCTTGTTGTTAAGTATTATGTATTGTGGTCTCATCTGAATCACGCTGCCTAACCAGGGCAGATTTGCCGAGGTTTCTCTCCTTTGCAAAGACGGTCCAAGGAAATACAGTGCAATGTTCTATGATTACCTGAAACTCTGTTGCTGGAATTGTGAGTTTTTTAGGGCTAGGCCATGGAGGAGCCCTGAGAATCTGCAGACCAAAATATCAAAGAAACTAAAGATCACAAAATCGTATAAATTAGAACGAGTTCAAAAGGGTAATGAACAATTCAATTCGAGTGTTAAAAGGAGTATGAACTTGCTTTTGATTGTTCTCCTGGTTTGGCATTAACCTTATACCTGAAAATCAGTGTTATATGCTCATTAGGTAGACCTTCATACACCAAACAAAATATTTTACCAAAATCATGCAAGAGGTCTTTGTGCTCTATTTGCTGTTTCCAAATTTGGTTCCTTCGGATGGTAACTTTAGGTCTGGCAGCATCAGCTCCGACCTGCACGACACCACAAAAAACTATTTTTTTCTTATTTCGAAAGAAAATAAAATGCTATTTTCACGATCAAAAGCACATAACCTTGTTTTCGTAAAATGTATGTTACCTTTTTCGACACCTTGTGTAACCAGAGATGTTGATGCTTGAGTTGTTCAGCAACCTACTTCACAAATGCATAAAGAGCCCTTCAGAAATTGTTATGAAAGATTCATAAACTATTGAACTTCGTTAATCACAACTGGGTGGTTTAAATACGCTATTGGACTTGAGTGTAACAACTTCATACCGAACATAATAAAGTACGCGATTCAATAAAGATCAAACAGATAAGAGATGCAAAAACTATCAAATGAAAAAATGTTCAAGTGCACCTTGCGTACATAGCCAGCCTCCAACTTGTGTCTTTTCGTAGGTGGCGGAGAATTCTGTGATTTCTCATCAAGTTTCCTGAGCTTTTTCGCCACTCCGTGTAATCAAGAGTCAGAAAAAGGCACAAGTTAGAGAAAACACCAAACAATTAGAACCAAAGATACATCATCCGAGACAAAAAATTAGCACGTCCTTAATAACCGGTTGGAGTGAATTTCTCGGCGGTGATTTTGCTCGGCCAGCTGACTTGCCGTGGGTTTCATTAACGTTGAACTCCTTGATAGAGGTGGTGACTTGCCCGGGGACTTTGGTTTAGCGCTTGGAGTGTCTAGAGCCATGTGATTAGGGAGTTCTAATCGTGTTGAAACACCATAAAACATGACAGTAAAAACAACTTCATCTGCTTATTCATGCGAAGCCGATTTAGAAAACAGAAATAATATTATCACGTCGAAAGTTTAATAAGAAATGAGAAAATGATGCAGAAGTACACAGTAGTAAAAAATGAAAATGTACCTCTAATATTATCGTCTACTACTACAGAGACCTCCGCTTCCATGCAATTATTTGAGTCAACTTCTTCAACGTCTTTTGGTTCGGTGGAGTTTTTTACAGGTTCCGGATGAATCCGTTTTTGCAAATTCAACAATTTTTCAAGGAAAGCTAAGGGATTCAAAACAAGGTACAATTAACCGAAGAAAAAACAGAGTTAGTGGTTAAGTTAACAAATTACAAATAATTATAATTCTCTTAATCTCTAATTTGTTCACGTAAACAATGTAATATAGTTCAGATGCATGAACTAAACATATAGATATTGAAATGAATTAGCAGAATCGATCATCAATTGATGTGGTAATCATAGAAAATGATAAAAAAATTCGTTGTTTTGGGACATGACAAGGAGAAGAGCAAACCAATGTTTCTGAAAACGCTTACGCGAGGGCTGATAACCTCCTGCTGACAGGAACCATTCCTCCGCCTCCTCGGCCTCCCGACCAGTCTTCGGCCGAGTGAAATCGTAGAACCTGGGCGCATCGAATTCATAGTCCATGTCAATTTCTCCCCCCTCGAAAGCCTCCCTAACAAACTCCACCATTTCTTCGTCCATCTCTCTCTCTCCCCCTCCCTCTGAACCAGCTTTCAGGCAAATGAGCCAGCGAAGTTTAAAAGTAATTTATGTCATAATATTCTGGAATGTTTTACTCCATTGCTGATTCTCGCGTTCTTGAAAAGCTTTCGGGGACTTTCGAAGAAACGACCGGGATTCAAACTTTCCCGGGAAATCAAAATTCCGAAACACAGAGAGAGAGAGAGAGAGATTATATATAAATGTATGTGTAAATGTATATATGTATGTAGAAGTTTTGATTAAGGTTAAAGTGAAACCCTAATTGAAATTTCTGATACGTGAAGAAGAAGAAATGGAAGATTGGATATTTGTTTTGGGCGATAATTTCGGATTGGTTTTAAGAGGGCAAACGCAGCAACAAAAGGAAAGACGACGAAGACAGAGAAGGAGGAGGACTTTTCTTCGCGCCCAAGGTTGAGAGAAATGTTCCGTCCGCCCAGAATTTTGAAATGGTGGGCTCCATTCCATTACCCCCAAACACTTGTTTTGTGGTCCCTCACCTTACATATTCGTTCGTTGTGCCCAACTAAATGGGAGTTTTAAGGGTATAGACTCATAGGATGCATCTAAACCTTTGGGGGTTGAATTTTGATACTATGAGCCAGTTAATTCTAGAATATTCAGACCAAATGACATAAGAACCTCACGTTTTTGTAATTTTCAAGCCTGATAAGCCAATAAGAAATTTTGATTTTTTTTTTTTTTTGAATTTTAATTCCATTTGTAGACAAATATATCAAATTTAACAACCATGAAGAACTATTTTTCTACATTTGCATGCAATGATACATGTACAAACACATATTATGTATTCCAAATATATCTGTTTGGACCTGATTTTACAATATCATCCTGAGCAATCGAGAGCGTTAGATGAGCGGGTTCTAGACCGTTGGATTTCATATTTTTCTAGATATTACTATTAGATTTTCGTAGTAATTATGAAATATATTTTTGGAAGCAAAGGAGATCAATTTCAGTTCGAATTGTTACACTTACATGATGATTGGTTTGAAAGCTAACGTGGCGGGTTAAGAGACTATTTTCCATGCATTTCATGAATAAGATAATTAGCAGTTGGAAATGGTGATAAAGATGGCAAAGGTAGATAACGACCGAATTTGCTCAGAACCGAACCATGCATGCAGGTTATCTCGGTAATGGTGATATCTAATGATTACCAAAAGATAATTGGAATGGTGACGTGATGTGAGTAGATGGGTTTTGAAGAGATAAGAATTGGTGAAAGTGGACGGCAGTGAGATATCGTGCGCAGAACTTGTTATAAAGTTTGAATATACGGTGATGTTCTCTGTTGTTGGATTGCTGATTGGACTTTACAAACACCATCAGGTCGTGCCAAGCAGATATTCCACCCTATAAATACAAAGTGGCGCACATCGTAAAAGGTCCCTTTCAAATCAACACATAAATTTCTCTACGCTAAGTTTCTCAACAACTCTGAGATTTTTTCTTTTTTCCCTTTCTTCTCGCCAACACATTCTCAGTTTGGATAGACAACACTGGAGCCGTAGAATTAGCCGACCGAGGAACACTTTTAGTTTGGATAAACAATACTGTTTCGAGATCAACTGGTTATTTATCCAAGTCTCGGTAAGGATTTCCGAGTCTTTGTTGGTAGAGGTCATCTCATCAGCCTTCTCCGCGAATGGAGGTGTTACTAGGTTACTACATTCGGCACATTGAAAGCTGAATTTGAAATTGAACTTCCTAGAATTAGCAGCCTTATCTTCAGGCTCTAGAACCTGAAGGTTAAAACGTGTTCCTTCCTCGGCCGCAGTCTTGAGATCAAGAAGTCAGCAGCGCGCCCAACGTCACATCAACATATTTACTCCCCGTATATGTACTCACTTATAGAGATACTACCAGTTCTTAGATTGAAAGGCAAATTAGGCTCATCATATATTTTTGCACGAGCCCTTCTTGACCTATTTGGATCTTCGTGGTCGTCAACGGACTCTCCATCAATATACCCATCTCGCTCATCCTCCACTATCATATTGTGTAATATGATGCAAGACATCATGATGGAGTCCAAATTTTCTCGACTCCACCCTTTTGCCAATTCGCTAATGATCTTCCATCGTGCTTGTAGAATACTGAAAGCTTTCTCAACATCTTTCCGATATGCCTCTTGGCGTAAGGTAAACAACTTTTCTGCGTCATTCCTAAGGTTTGGAATTGCTTAGACAAGTGTCGCCCACTTTAGGTAGATGCCATCTGCTAAGTAATACCCCATATTGTATTGATGGTTGTTGATGTAGTAGTCAAGTTGAGGTGTTTTACCTTCTGTCAAGTTATTTAAGAGGGGTGAACGCCCAAGAACTGTAATGTCATTTTGGGATCCAGGGACTCCAAAGAAAGCATGCCAGATCCATGTGTCATATGAGGCAACCACCTCTAACACAACAATTGGCTTTCTCGACCTTCCGCTAAAGCCTTATTGCCATCCGGTGTGACAGTTCTTCCAATCCCAATGCATGCAGTCTAATGACCTTATCATGCCCGGAAACCCACGGTCTTCAACTTTGCGAAGGAGCCGATTCAGATCTTTTTGATTTGGCTCGCGGAGGTACTCATCTTTGTAAACCTGAACAATTGTGTCACGAAATTGTTCAAGAGTATCAAGGTATGTAGACTCAGACATATAATGAGTTTCATGCATCGAATCAGCTGGGGAGCCATATGCCATCATTCGAAGTGCAACAGTAACCTTCTGATGAGGTGAGAAACCAGGGCGGCCTGCTCTATCCCGCTTCTGTCGAAAGTATGGATTGATCTGCTAGACATCACGAAGTAAACGCTTGAAGACATGACTCCTCATCCGGAAGCGACATTTGAAATCCTCTTATGTGTACACTGAGTTGGGGTTGAAGTAGTTGTTCATCAAATTGGCATGCGACATCACTTTGTTTCGTGGTTTGTAAGATTGACCAGCAATAGAGCCACCCCATTGAGGTTGTTCCTCAATTGGCTGACACACCATGGCCACAACTATGGCTGCTGCTCTGTTTTGTTTGTTGCGCCTTACTTGAACTTCTTAATCGGACTCCTCATCTTCTCATCTCATTTGCGCCCATTTTGCTTCCAATTTGGAATTGGATGAGGATCCCTAGTTGGAATCCGAAGAGGATCTAAAGTTGGAATTCATTGCAAACTTGAATTGAAAAAGATTGAATTGAAATAGATTGAATTCAAAGTTGTGTAAATTATAGCCTAATATCCACCCTATTTATAGCAAAAGAAAAATTCAAATCCAACGGCTAGCTGACATCAGCATGATGTCAGCTACCAATGGCTAGCTGACGTCACTTAGCTGTTGAATTTGAATTTAAGTTGTAGTTTTTAAATAATAAATTATGTTTGGCCCTATGACCTTCGGTTGGAGATGGTTTTTTGGGACAGGGCTAAAACGAGTCCTATGGCCCTTTGGCTCTCAGTTGGAGACGGAGACAAATTTGGTCCTATACTGTTCATTAAAATATTAATTTCTTGGAGGGCCAGAGGGCTAAAACGAGCCCTCTGGCCTCGGTTGGAGATGGCCTTAGGAGTAGAATTCTCTTCTCTTCTATTATTATTCTCTTCCCTCCTCTCCTCACCCTCTTTTTTATCTTTTTATTTATATAAAAAAATTCAAAATAAGATGTTGACGTAACTTAATGGTAACCGTTTAAACAGAATAAGATGAAAGAAGAGAGAGATTAGAAATGGAGAGAATCTTACTCTGCCTTAAAAAAAAGGTAATGCTAGGGTGTATAAATTTATAGACAAAATTTTGTAAACTAAATAACATAGAAATTAATGGTAAAATTATAATTTAAATATTGATCAACATACTTCATTGTAAATTTTAATGATAAATTTAATTTTCTAAGCATTACCTTAAATTTTAATGGTATCGTGGTAGGCCTTCCATGGTCAAAGCCTTTCGACACAGAAAAGTCTTACGTACAGCTGGCAAGGCCTTTTCTTTCCTTCAATTTTCGGCTTGTTCCCTTTTTCAAGTGTGTTGAAACTTGAGTATTAATTTTTAATCTTTAAATTCTTGGCCCGTCATTTAATTTGTTCAAGTGTGAGAATTAGTCACCGTAGGCATTGATTACCTGGGTTGTGAGAAACAATCATTGTTGCTTGCTCACATTAACTCCTCACAAACATCATGTACGCCACATCTTGGTTTGAACTTGTAACTAAAAAGAACATCTTGCATATGTTCAACAATCCAATAATGCTGCCCATTATTTGGTCCATATTTTGTTGGAAGTCTTTCTGCATGCCAACAAATCTAAGAAAGCTTAGATTTCTGAGGTACTGGATGCCAGAGGGCACCTGCATCAGTTGAGTGGAAGGCCCGATTTGTAACTCTCGGAGAAGAGGCGTGGCCCTATTGTCCATGCTCAATGAGTTTAGTCAAGGCAATAAGGGCTGGTTTGGTATTGCTGTGCTTTGAAAAAAAGTTGTTTTTGCTGTGCTGTGAGAATAAGCGGCTGTGAAATAAAACAGCAGAGTGTTTGGTATACTTTTTTGTAAAAGTGTTTTTGAAAAAGAAAAAAAAGCAGTATTATAGTGTTTGGTAAACTTTAATATAAAACAAATGTGAAAAAAAGTCGGTTTTTCAAAGCTGGGTTTTGCAGCTTCTTGTTTTTTTGCTTTTTTTCACCCAAAATTGTGAAAAAAAGCTGAAGCTGAATGTTTACCAAACACAAAAACAGCTCCCAGCTTTTTTCAGAATCACTTCAGTACCAAACCAGGCCTAAGTCCTTGAGTTTTAGCGCCCAAGTTCCTTAAAGCCTCCCTCAAAATGCACTTGCACACCATCATATGCCTTGTATCAGAACCCAAGCTCCACCAAATTAGAAAGGTTTTGAAGGGCTTTCAGTGGGGCACCATCAACCTTGACCAAAGAAATTCATAGCTTGACGAGTTATTGAAGCTTTCGAATCCAACTTGGCAACTTCTCTAGAGGCCCCTTCAAGTGGAGAAAACCGAAATAGATTCGGGTTGAATTGAAATGAATTGTTGTAGGTCAAGGACTTCATCTTCACTTATTGTGTTTAATTCTAGAGATTCAAGGTGATTCACTTTCAATCGGAGCACATATAGCATGTCCATATTCAATTTTCAAGTTTTTCAGGCTTAACTTTCGTAGCTGCCTTAGATTTTCCAATGCTTTAATTAGTTTGATTTCGCAGTAATTTGTTTCCACATGGTATATATGATAGCACCCAAATCTCTAAGCCCTATTCAACCTGCAGTTACACAAAGGCTAGGGAGGGAGAGGGAAGGAAGAGAGAGCAGAGCTCCCGAATTGTTTTTGTGTTTGTATTTCTTTTTGTAAATTTTGATAATTTTTTTTTAATTTAATTCCATTTGTAAATAAGTATATAAAATTTTCCAACATAAAGAATTGTTTTTCTACATATGCATGTGAGTATACATGTACGAACGCATATTATGTATTTCAAATGTGTCATATCATGACACAAACATTAACTATATTGTATATATGTAACTGAATTAATCTGTATATACAAAAGGAGAAGGCTCAACGCTTAAAATTTTTAAAATTCACAATCTACCCTTTGGTTAACAAAATTTCTAAAATCCACAATCCTACAAATTAATATCAAGAATACAAGACAGTAAAGAATGGGTAAAATAAAAAATAGAAAAAAAAATAGATCTTTAGGTTATGTTGAACAAAAATATAGAACACCTATACTTTTGTTTGAGTAGAGATGGGAAAAAACTCACATATATGATTTAATTTTCTAAATCATATTCTTCAATCTTATTATCTCTCTCAGTTAATTGAATTGGTGATCAAGGGACAAAACTGACAAAAATATGAAGGGTTTTTATTCCTTTTTAAAGCAAAGATACGAGGTAAATAGTTGTCAATTATATCTTATAAAAACTTGATTCATTCATAAAAAAATTAATGAAATTTTATCATGTCATTGGAGCATTCTATGTTTGAGGTCATTATATCTTGTTATTTTAATTTTTAATTAAAAACAATTTATTGCAACCACAAAAAAAATAACAAGAAAAATGCTAAGAAGACCACACCCAAGCACGACACACAAAAGAAAAAAAAAAGCGAAGAAGAAAGAGCCCCTCCCAGTCAATCTACACAAGAACCAAGGACAGCAGAGCTAACAATTCAATCTTAACGGCCCATAAACCTGTAGTCTTTAGACACTCCCATTTTTTTTTTATCAAGTTGGAATCAGGCATTCGACCAAGACGAAAAATCGGAATCATACAGGTAGTGGACTTCATTATCGCCATATCTCGGGCCAGAATTGTAACAAAAACAAACTTGTCGTATATGTTTAACAATCCAATAATGTGGGCCATTATTTGGATCCATTTGTCGTGCAAGCTCCTTCGTCATGTCATTAAACGCAAGACCTCTCAAATTTCGGAGGTGGTGGATGCCAGATGGCACCTCCTTCAGTTGTGGGCAAGATCCAATGTAAAACTCTTGGAGAAGAGGCATAACCCCATTGTCTATGATCAGTGAATTTAGTCCCTGCATTTCCTTGAGTAGTAGCACCCTAAGTTTCTGAAATCCTCCTTCCTCAAAATGCAGCTGCACGCCATCATATCCCATTTGTCCCAAACGAAGCTCCAACAGATTAGGAAGATTTTGAAGGGCTTTCAATGGGGAATCTCTCAACCTTGACCAATGAATCACCAATCTGACGAGGTGTTGAAGATTTGAAATCCAACTTGGCAACTGCTCTAAACGCCCCTTCAAGATCAGAGACCGAATAAATTCTGGTGGAGTTGAAATGGATTCTAGATCAAGGACTTCATCTTCACTTATTGCACTTAAATCTAGAGATTCAAGGCGATTCATCTTTTCAATAGAAGCACACAGAGCCCTTCCATCTTCACGTTTCAATTTTTTTAGGCCCAACTTCCGCAGCTGCCTTAACTTTCCCAATTCTTTGATTAGCTTGATCCCTCCATGATTCGCCTCCACATGGTACAGTTTTTGCAAAGCTTGTAAGCATCCAATACCTTCATGTATCTTCACTCCTCTTTCCCTATTCAAGCAAAAACGCATGCTGTAGTTACGATAGTAGACCAAAAGAAACCGCAGCTTAACAAGCTTATTGATCTTCGCTGGTATTTCATACACCAAAGACTGTTTTAGATCCAGAGTTTCTAAGTTTTTCAGATTGCCTATGGAGTCTGGAAGCAACTCCACCTTTGTATTCCTCAGGCTTAAATACGTCAAGAGATACAAATCCCCCACATATTTCGGAAGTTGATTGATTGGAGCGTCCATGAAATCCAAAACTTTCAGAAGTTGAAAGTTTCCCCTCAATGTATTGAGGAAAGACTCGGGCCATTCTTCTTGGTTGAAAGTAAACACAGAACGAATATGAGACTGTGTAATGCTTCCCAAGACTTCAGAGGGACTGACGTTGATTGAGAGACGCCGATTTGTTGGTTTAAAAGTTGACTTGTCTTTCGATAAGACATGACAGAAGCTTGAATCCCCACCCTTTTTAAGGAGGACTTCGCGCAACAGATCATGAACTCTACAACTTCGAGCTTTTCCATTCATGTAAACTTTTGACACTTGAACCAAGCTTCTGTGAATTAGCTCAGTCAAGTATTCCTCTCCAACCTCTTCCAGTGTCTTGCCTTCCTGCAATTTTACAAACCCTTCAGCAATCCACAACCGAATCAATCTTACACAACTAATTGAGTAGTCCTCTGGAAAGATGCCAAAGTATAAGACGCATGATTTGAGGTAATATGGTAGATGGTGATAGCTGAGGGATAGGATTCTTGTGAGGCTTGTAAGATGGGGATTGCTTTCCAACTCTGAACTTAAGCTATTGTATAACTTCCGCCATTCATCCACCACTTTATCTTTCGTTGACAGCAGACCACCTATGCAAACAATTGCCAAAGGTAGTCCCTCGCACTTTTTAACGATTTCCCGTGACATATCTTCTAACTCTGGAGGGCACTTTCCCTCCAATTCAAACTGAAATGCCTTTCTACAAAACAATTCCCATGCCTTCTCCGGAGGCAGAGGTTGCAAGTGATGAACATGAACAAAACAAGATTTTTTGCAAAAATCGGCAACATCTTGACTCCTTGTAGTAATCATTATTCTTCCGCCTTTATTATCCGGTAAAGCATGTTCTATAGCCCCCCAAAAATCTACTTCCCACACATCATCAAACACAACAACATACCTCTTTTCCTGCAAATACTCTCTTGATTTTCTGATCAAGGACTCCTTGTCTATTGTGTCAATTCCCTTTGGCAAATTCTGCTTCCCTGAATTATATAACCTTTTGATTACCGTCCTCAGAAGATCCTCCACCTTGTATGTCTGGGACACCATAATCCAAGCGTAGCAATCAAATTGGTACAGCACTGCCTGATTGTCATAAACTTTTTTTGCAAGAGTGGTCTTCCCAATTCCTCCCATGCCAACCACTGATATCACTTCGCGTCTCGGCGCTCCTCCAACCAACAAATTAGTTAGCTTTGCTCTGGCGGGTTCAATCCCCACCACTTCAGCCTCCTCAATGAAAAGGGAAGCCACTCGAGGGTCATGCCGCAGAAGAGTCTTTTCGCCATTATCTTGACCTTGCTGGTCAATGGAACTGAGTTCGTATCTTTTTCTTCTTTCCTGAATATCACGAACCAATACTTTCATACAGTCAACTTTCGAAACTATCGCATCCGGTGATCTCATTTTTTTAGCCGACCGGATAATTTTATGGAAAAAACGAATGAATCCAGGATCTTGATGGTGCCGTGTGATGCGGAGCAAATATTCATCAATGACATCTTCAATGTAAAAAGCTGCTTCTCTTACTTGGTTGACCCAAGTTTTGACACTGTCATTCGTCGTCTCTCCATCTGCAGCCGCCTTAGCATCTGCGTCCTTGAGGAATGATCGGATGCTCTCTAGCTCATCTTTGATGAAACCAACTTCTTTGCGTACGTCTCTCGAAAGGTTTGCTTCTGTGGTGATGAGTAGTTGAAATAACTTGTCGATCACAAAGCATACAATTTGTTCTGCCATATAATCTGAGCATCCAACAACCCCAAACTATATGCTATTTGTTTGGTTTGGGTGAGCAAACAGTTGCTCGGGAAAAAAAAAATATTGGGAATCAAAGGTAGAGAAAGGAAATCTGAAAACTAGAAGAGGAAGCAAGAATTAGGAGCAAATTGAATGCTGTGAAGCAGATGGCTTTGGTATCAAGAAAATCAGAAACAATGAAGCAGATTGAGAAAATTGATGGATTGAAATGTTCAGACACCTTTTTCTTTATATAAAAAAAATGCAAAATAAGATGTTGACCTGACTAGAAGAAGATGGAAAGAGAGATAATAAAAAGAAAGAGAATCTTACTCCACCTCAAAAATGGGTAATCCTTGAAAGATTAAATTTGAACGTAAAATTTTATAAATTAAATGACATAGAAGTTGGCAAGTAACCTTTTATCATAATGGTAGAAATGTGTTGAGCCTTGCATGACGGTATGGGTTCAAACCCCGTTGGTGGCTAATCTAACAAAATTTATCGTTTGACAAAAAAAAAAAAAAAAACATAGAAGTTGATGATTAAATTATGACTTAAATGTATCATTTAATTTGTAAATTTTGTCCATCAATTTAATTTTCTACGTGAAGTTTCAGAAACAATGAAGCAGATTGAGAGATGTTCAGACAGAGGTAGATTGTTTGCCTTCTTGTTTGAGTATCATTCTCATCTTTTTTTATTTGTGCGGTCACAGTTAAATTACGTCAATATTTTACATTCTTATTATTTTTTATCTTATTATCTTTATAAAAAAAATCAACATAAAATATCCTTCTCATCTTTTTTTATTTGTGCGGTCACAGTTAAATTACATCAATATTTTACATTCTTATTTTTTTTTATCTTATTATCTTTATAAAAAAATCAACATAAAATGTTCTGATTCAATTAATTTACTTGTGTAAACCATTGACAAAGTCTAAGCCAGTTCTCAATTAATTTAATTGTGTAATCCATCAATTAATCATATTGCAGACTTTCCAGACTTGTTCTGATTCAATTTCAGTAATTAATCAGTCCCAGTTTATACCGTGGATTTGGCTGATATATGAGCCGATTAATTTTCTCTTATCCATACGGCAAGAAATGAGAATTCGAGTTAGAAAGGTGGTTAGCAATGTGTTCGTAATAATTGAGCTGGGAATTGCGATATTGTAGCAATTGGTCAGGTCAACAAGTAAGGCCAAATTAATGAGTTCAGATCTACCGCGCTTAAGTTTCATCTGCTTGCATCCTCTGCTGACAAGTGTCCTATAACACTGTCAGCAAAAGTACGCGGAAGGTGGGTGAGCAGAGGAAACTTGTGCACCGCAGATTTGAACTCCAAAGGAACGAGTAATTTTTGGGTGTGCTGGGAACACCATGCCACGTGGTGTTCCCTCACACATAAAAATTCAAATTTATTTATTTATTGAAATAAAAAATTGAAGTATATTCAAAATTTGAATTTTTATGTGTGAGGGAACACCACGTGGCATGGTGTTCCCGGCACACCTAAAAATTTCTCCAAAGGAACCATTGCCACCAACTGGGATTGATTAGTAAATTGCATGCTTTGCCCTGTACAAAGTCAACGGGTTGTCTCTGGTTTTGCATCCACACCTAAGACACCTCCCCAAGTCTCCTTTTAAAAAGTAACAAAACAACCACCATTTTGTCGTTGCCTACCATGATTCGTGAAGCCTTTCAAATCATCAGTTCAAAAATTCTTACATACAGCTTGTAATTCCAAAATTATACCCCACCACATTACAATACTAGTTATGGGGATTATTCCACCTCTTTTTACGACAATTTCTTGAATTTAGTGCATGTCCATCGGATGGTGAAAGGTAAGGACAAAGACTCAAACGTGTTCTTCAACCCATTTAATCACGTTCAGCGGTCCAATTTTGCAAGGGCAATCATGGGCCATGCAAAGTCCGTCCAAATGCCTAAGCAAAATAAGCCCAAGCTGACGTCTACATGGTAATTGCCCTTGGTCTTACTCCTTTTCCATTACAAGGGCAATCAGGTTGCAGACGACTTTCTAGATTGGAAGGAGATGTCAACATTTGTCTTTTGGCTAATATATGTTGTATAATACATGCTGATTGAAATTCGAAAGTGATGTGATACAACCATTGACTAATTCTAAGCCAGCTCTCAATTAATTTAATTGTGTAATCCATCAAGTAATCGTATTTCTGATTCAATTGCAGTAATTAATCAGTGCTGGCTTATACCCTGAACTTGGCTGATATATGAGCGGATTAATTTGCTCTTATCCCTACGGCGAGAAATGAGAATTCAAGCTAGAAAGATGATTAACAATGTGATCGTAAAAGCTGAGCTGGTAACTGAGATGTTGTAGCAATAGATCAGGTCAACAATTTAGACCAAACTAACGAGTTCATATCTGATGTGCTCAAGTTTCCTCGGCCCACCCTATCCGCATTTTCCTGCTAAAGGTGTTAAGGGAAAACTTGGGCACAGATCTGAACTCCAAAAGAACCGATGCCACCAACTGGGATTGACTAGTAAATTGCATGCTTCGCCTTTAACAAAGCCAAGGGGTTGTCTCTGGTTTTGCATCAACACCTACTGAACTCTAATTTTAAAAAGTAACCAACAAAACAACCACCAATTTATAATTCATGAAGCCTTTCAAATTATCAAATTAAAAATTCTGACATACGGCTGGTAATTCCAAGATGACATAAACAAAGACATTCCACTGTTGGAGCAATATTTAAAGGGGTGTGCTATAGAAAATCACAACATGAATTACATATAAGATTAATATAAACAACTAGAGAGAAGTAAGAGAAATTAGTAAACTTGAAGATTGAGGCTTGCATGCAATGTTCTAAAGATAGAATTTCGCCCATATTCTTGAGGCTTCCAATCCCAATGCATGCAGTCTAATGACCCTATCATGCTCGGAAACCCATGGTATTCAGCTTTGCGAAGGAGCTGATTCAGATCTTCTTGATTTGGCTCGCGGAGGTACTCATCTTTGTAAATCTGAACAATTTCGCACTTTCGAACGATTTTCCGTGACATATCTTCTAACTCTGGAGGGCACTTTCCCTCCAATTCAAACTGAAATGCCTTTCTACAAAACAATTCCCATGCTTGTTTGGAGGCAGAGGTTGCAAGTGATGAACATGAACAAAACAAGACTTTTTGCAAAAATGGGCAACATCTTGACTCCTTGTAGTAATCATTATTCGTCCGCCTTTATTATCCGGTAAAGCATGTTCTATAGCCTCCCAAAAATCTACTTTCCACACATCATCAAACACAACAACATACCTCTTTTGCTGCAAATACTCTCTTGATTTTCTGATCAGGGACTCCTCATTCATTGTGTCAATTCCCTCTGGGAAATTCTCGTTCCTTGAACTGCAGAACATTTTGACTACTGTCCTCAGAAGATCCTCCACCTTGTATGTCTGGGACACCGTAATCCAAGCGTAGCAATCAAATTGGTCCAGCACCGTCAGATTGTCATAAACTTTTTTGGCAAGAGTGGTCTTCCCAAGTCCTCCCATGCCAACCACTGATATCACTTCGCGTCTCGGCGCTCCCCCAACCAACAAATTAGTTAGCTTTGCTCTGGCGGACTTAATCCCCACCACTTCAGCCTCCTCAATGAAAAGGGAAGCCACTCGAGGGTCATGCCACGGTAGAGTCTTTTCGCCATTATCTTGACCTTGCTGGTCAATGGAACTGAGTTCATATCTTTTTCTTCTTTCCTGAATATCCCGAACCAATTCTTTCATACGGTCAACTTTCGAAACTATCCCATCCTGTGATCTCGTTTTTTTAGCCAACCAGATAATTTTATGGAAAAAACGAATGAATCCAGGATCTTGATGGTGCCGTGTGATGCGGAGCAAATATTCATCAATGACATCTTCAATGTAAAAAGCTGCTTCTCTTACTTGGTTGACCCAAGTTTTGACACTGTCATTCGTCGTCTCTCCATCTGCAGCCGCCGTAGCATCTGCGTCCTTGAGGAATGATCGGATGCTCTCTAGCTCATCTTTGATGAAACCAACTTCTTTGCGTACGTCTCTCGAAAGGTTTGCTTCTGTGGTGATGAGTAGTTGAATTAACTTGTCGATCACAAAGCATGCAATTTGTTCTGCCATATAATATGAGCATCCAACAACCCCAAACTATATGCTATTTGTTTGGTTTGGGTGAGCAAACAGTTGCTCGGGAAAAAAAAAAAATTGGGAATCAAAGGTAGAGAAAGGAAATCTGAAAACTAGAAGAAGAAGCAAGAATCAGGAGCAAATTGAATGCTGTGAAGCAGATGGCTTTGGTATCAAGAAAATCAGAAACAATGAAGCAGATTGAGAAAATAACAAGACTTGGCTGCTGAAATTTCGGCAGCCATTCCTACTTACATCCAATCTCGTATGGACACATGTCCAAATTTTAATTCCACACGGAATTAGTTGTAAGTAGGGATGGCTGCTCAGCAGCCAAATTAATTCTTTGAGAAAATTGATAGATTGAAATGTTCAGAAACCTTTCTTATCACCTTTAGACAGGGGCTTCTGTACATCATGGTTAAAGGTCTAGAACGCCAAGATCCTTTTTACAGCTAGCAACTTATTCGATGCTTTCCTGTGGCTTTGCTTTTATTTTGTTTATCACGAGAATCTAGTAATGTGGATGATTGCTATCTTTGATCATACTTATCTTGCAAAAGTTTGGGTTAGGATACTCAACAGTAGTAGCAAATTTTATACAAAGGTTGTTTTTTTTTTTTTTTTTTTTTTTTTTTAACTGGTTATGCCTAATAATTCAATGTTATGTGGAAGAAATTTTTTAGTGATATTTATTATTTGATTAGAATGTTACATCGTGATAAACATGTTTTATGCAAGTCTTGCCATTAACCGTGGCATCTCCTAGAATAACATGATGTTGGCAGTAGGAAATAAAAAAGAATTTTGATTTGAGCATCCAGAGGTACAAGGTATTCTGGTGTAAAATAAGACTTACCTGTGCTTAGGCGTTCACAAGCCGGAATCACGCACGTTGTGAATCTTATACACGCTTCATGTTGTCCTCAGCTTGTAAGTAAAAATAACATCTCGTATAAGCTCAACAATCCAATAATATCGGCCATTTTTTGGATCCGCATCTCGTTGGAATTGTTTCGTCATGTTAATAAATCTAAGAGTTGTTGAAGGTTTTGCTTCTGTGGTGATGACTGGCGAAATTAACGTATACCATT